TAAACCACTAGGCCACCGAGGCTGTCAATTGCCGTTATTGATTATATTATTACAAGTACAAGTAAGGGTTACCACCCTTAAATGTTGTAATCATATTGTTATTTCATATACTACACGAACTAAATCACGAGCATAGCTAATTAATAAATAATCCTGAACAATTAAAGCAGCGCCATCTAGTCTCACAGCAAGCAGAGCTTGTGTGTTGTGGGGACTAGATAACTGATACAAATACTTAGATATTTTATTTTGTAAATTTATATATTATATGTATACATAGAATACACCCAGTCCGATACAAACAATGATATTCAGGAATACAAATGTTTGCACCATGCAAGGAATCGAACCCGCGACCATCAAATAAAGCGGTTTGCTAAACCGCTGCACCACCGAGGCAATGTTTTTCGATAAAATTTGTTTCCGACTTAGTCTAAATTATGCTAAAATCGTAACATATGTATCAACTATCACTCAGAAATGTTATTAGTGAAACTTGTTTCTTTTTTTGTATCAATTGCCCCACATTAATATTACCACAAGTGACCTTGTATACACAGGAAACTCTCTGTTTCAACTTGAATGGCTCAGACGTTACGCGTCGCTGCTCGGATGTTGGTCTCGGGTTCGATATCTCCATCTAGTACAATAATAAAAACGTTAAGTATTTTGTCAAGTTCATTTTACATATTTTTTTGTTCACAAATCACACTTTTATAGAAATATTTTTAGTATATACGACTGTATTTATTAGGCTACGTGTATTTGGAATATTCTAGGAGGGGTAGACACCCCATATAATTAATCTATAATAGTAGGTATAGCATGTTGATTATGATTCAACCTGGAATAATACGTTGTTAATTTTTTTATTAAACTCTTTTATTATAAATATATATATACACTTTGGTTGTAGTACGAGACGATGCCTAATGAGGGATATTAAATATCCATAAGAGCACCAATATTCTCATAAATGTTTTACTGAATCCATTAGCATATATAAACAAATTAATGATTATAAAAATATATAGAAAATAGTTCTCAACAGTGGCAATTTAACAAGCAGTTATAAAATAGTTCGCATATTTATAATTACATTCACTTATTATGTTTTTTTAATTGTATATTTTTTTGCCTTTTGTTATATACCACAATAATACTGTAATTACTATAGATATTTGACTTTCTTTTTAATTCTTGTAGACATTATTATTATACATTTAAGATATTAATTCAAGTAATTTGATTCTCATAATATCATTATGTAGTCCAATATGTTTTGTAATATTATATAATGGATTATCTGTAGAGGATGAATAAATAGTTTTCAAAAAACTAAATACATATAAATACTTTAATTTCAAATTTAAAATACTATTAGTTTTGTAATCGGTACCGGAACGTAAAACTAGTTCGTCAACGCACAATTTAGATGATTATTTATATTACAGCACATAGGAAGGAACTCGTTTTGATCTGCACGTTGATTTGCAGTTCTGATGACCGCGTTCATATTATGCGGAAACTGCATCCATACCATACACTATAATTGTTCGAGTGAAAGAAATAATTTTAACTATTTCTTTATGTAATATGAATCGCAAACAAGCTGTCGGCGGCCCACCTGGTGGAAAATAGCAATGGTTGACTATAGAAATGATACTACGGACATCAAAATTAATTTGTAATGATATCTCTCTAGCTTTGGCATTTCGGGAGACTATGATGTCATACGCATGATACTGTATCCTGTAATTTTACTATTATTCTTATTATTATTAGTAGCGGCAGAAATATTTGAGACAGGTATCAACGCACTCGATTTTATAAAAAAAATCTATAGTAAGTATATTGTAAATAAAGAAGTGAGTATGACTTTAAGCTTGAACGGTTTTTTTTTGTAATTAGTTTGGAGGGAAACAAGCTGACGAAACGATGGTAAGTGGCAACTGCTTATATCTATACATATAAATAAGATTGGAGTGTCTGTTTGTAATATTGAAATAAGTGATTTTTACTATATGTATATGAATATATATACGGTACATATTATAATTTTTGTCTATCTGTCTGTCGGTCTGTTTGTTCCGGCTAATCTCTGATGTGGCTGGACCGATTTCGACGGGATAGATCAGATTACATAGCTCAGAGGTACAAAAACTATCTCTATTCATTGAATTAACTAAATATTATTAAATTTTGATTATATGCAACATATATCATAGGAAAGGACAGAAGCTATTCCTAATTATTAATCAAATTTTTCACTAATCGCAGAATGTATTTAGAGGATTAAAATTTAAATAACAGTGTCAGTTCATGAGCGCAACAATTGCAACTAGTAATTTGTAAATGGTGTAATATCATGATGCATTAGGAAAACGGTAATTTAGATGCTGTATCGGTAGTTGTAATGGCATCTGTTTCCCTCTCATTGAGATTATGGTAAAAGTGAGCGGTTGAGCCCCAACACCGTCACCTACTGATACAGCTCCCGTCACATTTGCACGCACTGCGCATTGCAAAAAGACGAAAACTGCAACCATTTGTCTTTTCACTTACGTCTTTCCAAAAATGAGCAATTATGTAGTTCTTTTGTTTATGTGTGGGGAGATAATAGTGGACAACATTAAAAGTATATTTATCGACTAGCTGAGCTAGCAAGTTTGTATCCATTGTGTTCTGAATAACAATTGTGGAGGGAGGTGGGGTTGGTAGTTCCGATTTTTCGAAAATTGCTAATATCTTCATGAAAAATAAGTCTTGTTAGATAGCTTCTTAACATATCAATAGAATATTTATCAGCGTATCAGGATGTATTCAGTTATTGTGCCTAAGTACAATAGTCTTTTTTCTAGAAATAATCCCCGTTATTTGGGCCGCTTGTTCAGACCCTGAGGTAACTTGCTCCGCTTACATTTTTGACCACTATTAATCATAATAATTTGTCTATAACTATATAACTTTTTCATTGGCAAAGCAATTGAAATAAATCGAAACCTACAAAAACAGAATAAAAATATCACGCAAATCATACCAACATACAATGAGAAATTCAAACAATTTTTGCTATGAAATCTATTATATTGAAAAAATCCCCCAAAGGTTTATCAGTTGTCCTCAATTACAGAGACAAAAGTTATCCTACACATATATAATCGGAATAATTCCTGTTTGTCCGGTAAAGTTAATGCAATTCCGGTCACCCTGCATGAATGTGTGATAACGCGTTTTAACGAGTTGTAAATAAAACTAATGTATGCTTAAATTGTAATGCATCCAATTTCCAATATTAGTAGACATTGTAATAAATTCAATGGAAGGCTACGGTTATAACATGCGAAATAGTAATCACTAAATAAATTATGTTACACGTTAAGTGGTACAGTGTTACACAATGTATGACATTGTTTAATAATACTTACAAAGTTTGTGTAAAAACATGAAGCCTAGGACCCGTCCCACACTTCTAGGACTACTTGTCTTAGATTATGACATCTAATTTGAATTTATTAATGATATTTTAAATATTATAATTGCCTAATTGTAATATGGGGTTTAAATTTACTGTAGTTGGTTTGACGTAATTTATGTATGGTTATTTTATTAATCTATATGAATTTGATTACAAACTTTTATGAGGAGACACCACCCCGAAATAAATTAATATAAATAACTTTAGGACTCGGCCATTAGACATGAATTCACATATAAAATTTATTCTAGTATTGAAAAAAATTAAAAACACAAATTATTTCTAGTATTGAAAATATAAATAACAATTAAAATGGCAGAGATACGTGTCAGTCAGCGAGGCCCTCGTCCAACTTTATAAGATTCCTCCATCCAACGATATAATAAATAATATATAAAAAATATTGCTTTTTGAAAAGGGTAACAGCTAAGAGTCATCTCATCAGGAAAAAATAAAGATATTTTTTGTAAAAAAATATGTAATATTTTTCCAATTTTTGGGTTTTTTTAATTATTTGTTCGATCGAGTTACTTGGAATTGTAGAATCATATAGTCACCATAATGCAGTATTATAATTAGTAATAAAAGTAACCTCATTTAATCTAATTGTGTATTTATATTTGACCCTAATAAATTATTTTGTATTTACACGTTTCGACTTGAAAAATGCTTACAATGATTATTTAAAAGAGCAAGTTTCTTGCGATGTCTTCTCTTCTTTCTGACTTCTTTTCTTCTTGATGAGACAGCTTTCCGAATGAGCGGTAGATTAAAAAAATATTTTGACTATTCGAAAGTAGGTACTTAAATTAAGTTTATTTGAACAAAGTATTTTCTAATCTATTCTATTCTATTCTTAGGCTTTGACTAATTTTAGAGACTTCGATTAAGATACTACAATTTGTCAAAACCCTAAGTTTAGTGACAGAATATTTACCCATAGAAAGCTCTCAAGCCATTATTATCAGCGTACAAAATAGACAGTATTTTATATCCAAAGAGATTCGAAATAGCTAAAAGACTTAAAAAGTTAAACCATCACGTTCACTCTAATTCAATTATAGGTAAGTACATATTAATATTTTCTGGTTATGATTCTCATTAATAGATTGATGAGTTGCCTATACTTGGGCAGGTATTGTTTCGTCTCGCTCGGTTGTGGTTTATGGCAATATTGTCATCTTTAAACTACGATCGAATTTCCACTCTACGACCATAATGTAGACCACATTTTCACTATAATGATAGATTTTTTAATTTATCCACGCTGAAAGCTGCAACTTCAATTATAAGCTCTAGGTCGATGTGGTCCAGCTGAAATTCCAATGCAACTGTTTGAACGTAAGAAAATTGCGTTTGATTTTCGAATATGATCCCTTACGTCTGGCTTTAGGGCTTAAATTAGATGGTTCTGCACGTGATGTAGAATAGATAGAAGCTATTGAGAGCCAGTGTCGCGAAACGCGACCACGTTGCGATATAAAAGGAAGTTTTGTTTAAATTTCTTTATCACACACCAGCTGCCTGTACCCGCGCTCGGTCACTTACTGCTCTCATCACATTTGCACGATGTCTGCACGTCTTCTGGTGAGTTACAAAATAATTGCAATATTATGTAAAAACAATTCGTCTTCATAATATTAATTAAGGGATGCTACCATAAACAAAACATAGTTTTAATCGCGCTTCAATTTTGAAAAATATGTAATTCTTTTATTTCCTTAGTCCTTTTATATAAATGACAGTAAATATCTTAATTTCATATGTTTTGAATATTACAGATTAAATATAGTAACATGCTATAAATAGAATAAGATATATAGGTATAAAATGAAAGTTCAATTATAGAGTATATAGAAAATATAACTATATATATTATTATATATAAATATATTATTGGTAAAAATAATATCTATTCAGAGGTATGCTTGCAAATATTCCGTATTAAAAATAAATTCACAATTGGGTACAAAATTCATAAAACCATTATTTTGTTGTTAGTGACGCAAGCCTCGCCGGAGACTAATTCAGGCACTCTCGAGACCTAAATAAAAAAAATTATGTATTGTTCTTTGAAACAATGTTAGGGCATAAAATTTGCAACTTAATATGCGGAAGTAGTCAGCACCGCAGCATAATATAACTATCCGATAGTTAAGTAATCATCAAATACAACTCGGAGACTCTAAAAAAAGAAAAAAAACGTCCAGAGTGAATGGCGTCTTTAATGCTGTCATTTCTCAGTTGAAATTTGAAAGTGGAACATTCCATTATTATACCACAATCGGATAACATAAATCTGAGTAGATCTTCACAGGATGAAATACATTAATTCGATATTAATTCGATACATTTATTAATTCGAACTCTTATATATATTTTTTTCTTTTACAACCCCATTTCCAATATTTTGAATAATTGAGCAAGTAAAGTTTTTAATTTGAATGGTGTAATTGTAATAATGGATTTTATGCATAGCAAATTACAAAATCAAATTGCGAATTGTTATGTAATATATTTAGAATGCATTTGCGAATTATGTGTTTGTTACATTATTATATATTGTATTATTATATATACTTACATAAAATGTTACTTATAGAAAACAGTTCAATATTATTTTCATTCAAGCCTTCATTTTAACCTACTTCATTAAAGACAATTTCAATTCTACTTACTTTTATTAGAGCAGGTGATTAACTGTTATTTCCCCCAAAAGTAGACCCAATTATTTATTCATTTATCACAATTCCTATCACACTAATTCTCACACATCAAAATTTTCTTTCGTAATGACTCCCTCGCGTTTCAGCACGCAGCGTCACGATTGACGGTCGTTTATCGCGGATTCAATTCTTGCATTAACTACTTTATATTTATGGCGTTAATGCATGATATTATGCATCATTATAAGGGTATCCTACCCCTAATCCTAGCATAAATATAAAGTAATAGTTGTGGCGTAGGATTTAAAGAAATCTGTTATTATTCTTCCGTAAATCCATAACTTGTACAACATACATATATACTTTAAGAAGAATTTTAACCATAACATATTTTGCGAGTACATGTCTAGCATAACTATAAACAATATTATAGGAATTTAAAATAACGAAAATACTTTTTTGATTTTCCAGTTGGTAATTGTTTGTGTGGTGGAGTTGGCAACACTGATCTCGGCGGGCGGTCACGGCGGCGGTCACAAGAAGGTGATCATCCACGTACCACTGTTCGTGAAACATCATCACCACAAGCACACGATTGTGAAGCATGTTCACCACAAGAGCGGAGGCGGTGGTGGTGATGACCACTACGAAGTACTTGGTTACACGTATGGAGAACCAAAACCGGCGCCCCACTTTGGGGGAGGTAAGAAGAGTGATCATTTCCTAATCATCGCCCACACACGACACCGTCCTCGCCGGCGAAGACGACGACCTCAAACACACCATATCGCGTAATCAACGGGGCGTCTTTGCGCCCCCGGGCGCTCCACACCGGTGCCTCTCCGTCTAATTCAAACGGGGATTTAAAAATCAAACGGCAATTACGGCCTAAACCTAGGTTCGAACTCTTAGTGGTGCCTCAGGCTAAATACGTCAGGTGGGAGTTGGCCTTCAGACACTCCATAAGTCCTTCAACTGGTTTGGAGTACCATCTGAAATGATTGTTTCATTTCAGATGGCACTTTCAAATAAATCTTCATAAGCTATGTTTCTATGGATGCGATTTGGCAGTGAAATTATAGGATTTTGACTGTTAATATCTTAGTCCTCAAGAATGGCATCGCATGAGCTTTACACTGGATGACGTAATATCAGTTGCCACTTACCATCACGTGGGAGCCGTCAGTCTGTTTATCATATTCGTTACATAAAAAAAAAACAACCGTGTGATAATATATTGTAATTATTTGAAAAGAGTAGAAATATTTCGAAATTGACTTTAATGTGGAGACAGTAATGACGTATTTTCACAAAATTTCTATTTTTAAGTAAATACACTTTATTATAAAGCACACGAAAGGACATTTTCGAGAAAGTACCCTATGTATTTTTAATGATGATTGATGACTCAAAACCATTCAAAATAGCTTACGGTTTTAAAGTACAATAGCACTTGTCGTTCTTAAAAAGTTTTGAGCTGGCTTTGCCAAGATTGGTCACTATTGTTCAACGGTCTTGGTCTAGCGGCTTAACACCGTCTACCGCTCGATGTCGCAGGTTCGATCTTGCATTATTCAAACAATGAGTATAATTGCTTAAATTAATCGCAGTGTTTGCTATATATATTAGGTGTCTATGTATAGTATTCTCGGTACGTGTTTATAAAAAATATAAGGATTTCTGTGTGTAATCCATAGTACACAATTTATTTATTTTGGGTATAGATGGCGCTAGGCGCTATAGTCCTGGATTATTATAATAATATCAAATTAACTCCTTCAATCAATGTTCTTTTTTTATTGATAGCAAACACTTGGTTCTTAATATATAAACAACATATTTATATTATTATTGTCGCGGGTTCGATTCCTCGCACGGCACAAACATTTGTATTCATGAGTATGATTGTTTGTATCGGGCTGGGTGTTTTCTATGTATAATATGTATGTATTTACAAAAAAATATATCTATGTATATGTATCAGTTATCTAGTACCCATACCACAAGCTTTAGTTAGCTTAACTTCGGTTTAGGTGGCGCTGTGTGAATTGAAAAAAAAAGCCAAAAAAAATTAATTGTAAAAAAATCATAGACAAGATTTGCACCTAGTGTAAACGTGTTCACAATATATATGTCTTTTAGAACCTTTTGTTCAACTTTAATTATCATGTGATTTGCTACGTACTCACTATACGTGCGAAAATGTAGTACTTTTTTTCTATCGTTTTAGCATAGTATATGGGGCAATATTTAGTTTTTTTTAATTAGATCAATAGTATAAACTAATTGAGATTTTATGCAATTATTTAATTTGTTTAATTAAGAAACGGAATTAATTATTATTTAGTACTAATCGAAAAATTTCTACATATTTAACGGGAAATTCTTAATATTGATGACATTGGAGAATAACAAAAATTAAAGTATAATCATACATACTAGCGATTCGTCACGGCTTCGCACGGATGCATTACAATTCTTAGAATTTTGCGGTTTGTTCTATACTTATATGTATAATATATGCGTGTTAGCATATATTATACATATAAGCCTTACTCTTGAATCACTCTATCTATTGCAGAAAAATCTATTAAAATCTGTAGCGTAATTTAAAACATGTATATAGAATAGACATCGGCGGCTAAACTAAACTAAACTATCCATATCCCATTTATGAAATATAATATTAATATGCTATTATTATCGTGTAACGATGTATATAGACAATTCAATATTTAATAACAATATCTGATTTTTTTAAAATTATAACACTAGCTTCTCTCCGCAGTTTCGCATTCCTCTAGAATTACCCTATCTATTAAAAAAAACCGCTTCATAACCCTTTGCATAGTTTTAAAGATTTAAGCATACATAGGTGTGTCCCTAGTGACAGCGACTTTATTTTATAGTATGTAATAATGATTATGCACAAATGTGCAGTATAATAACCCAAGACAGCCATAATACATAACCTAAGAATTCATTCTCGATAACAGGTCACGGCTGGGGTGCAGCAGACGAAGGTCATGATGGCAGTTATGGTGAGTCTCCAGTGAGCTTCGACGGAGACCATGGAGGTTACGGACTCTCTGGCGCCGGTGATGAAGGCTCGGAATTAGGCCATGGTGGATATTGAACCAAACATTATAGACAGTAGAGTCAAATATCATATGCAGTACAAATCACTACAATTTCGTTCTACATATACCCTTTTCAGATTTTAGTATACCCTTCGAAAAGTAATTCTCGAGTTGGATTACGTAATTACTTAATATTTCTCATATATTTGTACCATTAGCATGTAGCCTGTTGTTCACTAACTGAACTTAGATCTAAAAGTCGTGAGTTCTATTTTGATAGACCTAAAAATCTTTACCTATCAATTTCTAACCAAACATATGATTATTTTAAAGAAATCAAATTAATACGAAAGAATTCGTTAATCTCTCTTCCTGGATTTTAATGTACCGAATAAAATATGGGTATGTTAAGAATGCTCTGAGCACCCCATCTTGTATAATTGTCGTGAAGAAGTATTGACGATTCTGTTATAAACTCATCTATACAAATTGTAATGTATCAAATGTCACACGCAGAACCCGTCAATCTTTTCTTACATAATCCAACTGCATTTATAAATTACTGTATTTCTTGTTACATGAGTGTTAAAATGACAAGTAGTTTATAGCTATTTATAACTCAACCGGCGACATAGTTTATGTGTTTTTTCTGTGTATAAACTTGTTGGATGGGAGCTGTATACTTGAATGATAACCTCTCAAGATCCACACGAGTCGTAATGAATTACAGACGCAGGTATTACGGGTACGAGCGAGCCCAATGAATATTGGAGTGATCATCAATTTTATCCGTTTCCTGTATTAGGTTACATTACGTACATTAAATCACGTTTGATCGATAGTTTGCCGTGTAATTCGATTTTTTTTCAATAGAAACACGATTCTCATTCATTATATTTAATGGTAGGTTAGCTTTCTCGAGATATAAAATGCATTTGTACTCAAAGGTCTTTAGACCAGTTGTATAAAGTTTGTGCGAGCAATGTAAATAATAGTTCATAACTATAGAAAATGTGGTCGCCTAAAACCTACCTGCTTTTACAATGTTATAGTTTAAGACTGTTGTTATGAGTGTTGTCCCTGTTTGTTAGGGATTTTGTTAATAATGTTATGCACGCTGTTATTAAGTTAAATAATATGTTTTCTATATTTGATTTTTATTTCTAACCCTTTACTTCTAAACGTACTAATTTATATATAACTGTTAAGAAATTTTAATAATATTTGATGAAGCAACCTTTACCACTAAGTTGTCTGCGTTTACCTCTGCCTTATATATTTCAGCTTAGAAATAGCTTGCTTTGAAAGATATATTTCAGTTGAACTCAGGTATAAGACAGAGAAATTATTGAATCAACATTTAAAAAAACATCACCAATCAACAAACCAATAATGACAACAACAACAATCAACTCTGAAAGTTGTTTGCTTACACTTTTATTTGTATCTGTACTAAAAACAAACAAAACGCGTAAAAATGTAAAAAAAAGTAATAAAAATATTATATATCTAGACATATATTCATTAATCTTATTAATTATTAAGATTATAAACGAGAAAGTTTGTGAGTATGGATGTTTGTTACTCTTTCACGCAAATTACGCCCTTCGGAAAAACAAGTATGAATCGCCATGGGTATCGAATGATATGCATCGTATTGTGTATATATATAGACAATGATTGCCACTTGCCAGCTTGTTTGCCATTTCAATTACTGGTACTGCAGACCCCTCGCCTAGTGCTGGTTTTTGTTTCTTCAATACTATTGGCCATACTGTGTCCATTACAACTCTATTTAGCAAAAGAGCACTCCAAAACCGAGGTGGGAGATATACCGGCTGATAGCCAGATACTCCAGTCTGAGGACACCACTAGGGCTTCGAACCTCGATGGAGTTTAAATTACTAATTTATAAGTTTTTTTTTTAAGTAACACGTTGAAGACCGAGTTGTAAAATTTTATTTCTCACATACGGATCGGCATTTTATTTATTGTTAATTATGTATATTATTTTTTGGTATGTTCTAGTGTACAATAATTTGTGCCCACGGGTGATTACTCGGTCCCAACGTGTATATTTACTTTCGTTGCAAAGTGACGATGTGGCCATGTGGTCTTTAACGTGATAAATACTATAGGCAAGATACAATAAGCGTTGAGTCCCAGCGTAGGTAATAATTGAACTAACACTTTACTTTCTCCATATTTTATATTTGTTTTTTGCCATTTTCCAAGACCAAACGAACGTGACTATAGTACAGAAAGTTATTTGCCTACACTTTTATTTGTATCGGTACTAAATACATAAATAAAACGCGTAACAGAGTAAAAAAAAGTAATAGGTTTATTAAAAATATATCCAGACATATACTCATTAATGTTATTAATATTATACATATAAACGCGAAAGTTTGTTAGTTCATACTCAGTAGGTTTTGTGTGAAATAGTAACAATTGTTTGTTACTATTTCAAAAAACCTACTGAAAGGATTTTGATGAAACTTTACAGTAATATAGCTTATATGTCAGAATAACACATAGGCTATATTTTTTATTAAAAGTTATCGCGAGTGAAACCGCGGGCACAGCTAGTACAAAATGCATATACCGAAATGGTAAATGCAAGAGTACTATATCACGAACGGCACATGGTAACGTGATGTTTATGGTGATATTCATGTATATAGACGGTGGTTAACATTTACCATTAGATGGACGTTAGCTTGTTAACCATTCATGACATACATACATAAACGATCCCATTCATATACCTATATTTCTTTTTTTTTAACTAAACAATCTACGTATGGAAATGTATGATTGTGTTTTATCTAGTAATAAATCATAATTACAGCATAGAATGGAATGGAAAGGAAAGAAAATTATTTATTCAAATAAAGTTACATTTAAACTTTTGAATAGTCATTACCTATTTTTTATTCTACCGCTCATTCAGAAATCTGTGTCATCACAAGAAAACGAAAGAAACACAATAAACTTGCGTGTAGCTTTGAAATAATTTATGAGTAACTTTACAATTATTATTATTTAAAAAATATAATAAAAACAAACATCTGTTCTTTATGGTAATCCAACGTTTATTTCTACCCCTTTCGGTTTTAGTGTTACTTAGCTGTAATGTATGTAATAGCAGTTGAATAGCTATATCATATTATACATATAAATACGAAGAAATTCGAAACAATAATGAAAGTTGCATTAAAATCCGTTGAGTGGTTTAGAAGAAGTGAGCGGATGTACGGACATATGAAACTAGCAACTTTGTTTTATGCTGTTATATTTGTTTTATAGAAGATACACATCATTTATGTACTATATCTATCATTTACTGCTGTAACAATGAAGTAGGTGATTGGTACATTTAGCGAAATCATTCTTTTTATCTGTTTATTGTTTTCAAACTTACCTTTTCCGTCCCATTATTACGTGAGAAACTATTTACGTTTCCTTCTTGTATTAAGTAGAAAAAAAAATTACAAGAGGGAACAACATCTAAAATAACAGGTGGTCTTAGTTGTTGGTAATTTTTCATTTTCGTTGTTTAAAAACATGATAGTGATGTTTTATTAGTCTTAACTTAGTTTATTTGACTTTAAGTAGAATAATAATCAATACACACAGTGCCATCCAATTTCTAACTAAAAAGAGCTGAAAGGAGTACTTGAAAACTGATATAAAAAATACCTGAATGCAATTTTAGTACAATAATGTAATACAAACAAAAAAATATTTTTTTATAGATACCTACAATTTATACATAGAAAAAGCCTAGACCGATACAAGCAAGCATACTCATGAATAAAAATATTATATAGTACCGAGAAAGGAATGGAACCTGCGACCATGGGAAAGTAAAGCAGTATGCTAAACCGAAGATTATCGAGGCCGTAAAAAAAGAAGAATGATTTTTTTTAATAAAAATATCAGGTTATTATATTCTATCTAATCCTATCTATTAGATCGCATAGATATTAGTCTCTCTTCTTCGTTGGAGACGAAGACAAAGTTTCCTTGGCGATGGCTTCAGGTATATTTTATTGCTCATTAGTTGAGTAAGTATACATGAGCAGAAGTCCTGCAATTGTGTGATGTGTACGGAATTCAGTAGCTTAGTTTCTTCTCATCTCGAAATCATTCCGAACTGACGGTAGATTTGACATATCATAAGAGTCTGTAATAGACCTACATGAATGAAGATATTTTGAATTTGAATTTGACATTCATTGCAAAAATCCGCTAGTCGCTAATAAAGAGAATAATTTTCTTCTGAACCATAAACAAAATAAACGCTTTTTTATATAATAATAATAATATCTTTATTTTGCATCTAATATTTACCTTTTCCATTGTTCCCTGGTACCTAAGTTTGAATTTAGGTAACAGTTGAATTTAGGTAACAGTTAGGTACCAACAAATGATAATATATCAAAAAATAATACTCATATTGTTGTATATGTTTCTGCTATAAATTATTATTTCCATCAACACGTGTTGTTCAACAGTTTAGGAAATTATTGTATTGTTATAAAAACTTTTTCTCAACTGGCACATGGCGTTCGGTTACTGTATTTTTACGCCGGTTACTGTATTCGTTTTTCCGCTACAGAGATGTCATCTGACGACTAGACCATCGCAGGTGCTTTAGCATACCATTTACTTCCTATGATTGCGGGTTCGATTCCTCGCATGGTATAAATTTTCATGATAAAAGTAATAACATTTGTTTGCATGAGTATGATTATTTGTTGGGTGTTTTCGATGTATATTAGTGTAGGTGACCCACGCAACTTTGTCTGCATCACACTTAGTTGACATTTATTATACGAATAATTTTTCCCGTATGTGTTACATTTTCCATTGATGCTTCACTTTTATTGGTCGTAGCATAATATTTATTTATTTATTTATTTTTCCACACTTACATCTATTTTTACAGGTCTTAGCCTAATACAATAGTGCAGCAAACATTATTTTTTAAATTATTTATAACTTATAATAAATAAAGCGATCTTCGTGAACTCATTCAGAGAACAAGAAAATAGATCTATTTGCTCCGTTATATGATTCAATGTACGCAGTGCTCTTGTGACTGGTGCTTTGCCTAGTAAGTGTGTGGCCCCGCGCGGCACAGCCAGCAGTTGCGGTCGACGGCGACACCATACATATTTATCTGGAACACAGAACTCCACACAACTCAACACCTGGCTATTGTTAATTTTACCCCTAATCAATTTAAATAAATATAACACTAGGCATAACTCTCTCCGCACCCGCAATTCATTGTACCCTACCATACCTAATACAAACAGATTAGGATACATTAGCGGGTAGAAAGGGTCCATATTTCTTTAAATATATAAACCTAATAAATTTATTTTGAATGCGTTCCAACATGAGACTATATTTAGCTTCATGTGGAGCCCAAATGACTGCATTATTTTCTAGGTGACTTCTAACTAAAGCATTATATAATGAACAGATCGCTGTAATATTAGTAAAATTAACTGATCGACGAAGTACTAGAAGAAGTACTAGAAGTATATTATATTGCTTAAAGCCTTCACCCAAAAGGACTATACCCAACACAAAAAGAATTTTTCAATTCGAACCAACCGAACCAACGCTAAGATAAGGAACTTACGTTCCTGATCTTAGCGTGTTCAAACAAACAACCAAACTCTTCAGCTTTATAATATTAGTATAATAATAATATCTATCGTATTTACCAGATTTTGTATTTCAGTATTCTGTTAATTCTCTAGTAGGTACTGTATAGTAGTATAGCACAAGCTCTGCTTATGTCGGTAATAATTAGCGCTGTGTGAATTGTCCTGGATTATTTTTGTTGTTATTATTATTATGTGCTTGGATACAGTGTTATAACACATTGTTTAACAGTGTTAGGGCAGATTAATGTTCCTTACATATAGCGTTCCATACTCCCAGTTAATTTGGAAATGTAAAGTGTTCAACTGCCCCATCTGGCATCGTGTAGTATATATATATACAAATGATTACCGGCGCCCAAGTGCGTTGTCAACCTTATAAAGTAATAAACTCTTCTCTTGAAGGTCTAAATATAATATCGGTTCGGAAATAGCATTGCTGGAAGATGATTCCACAATGTGGTTCAAAGTGAACCACATTGTGGAATATTCACAATATATACACTACATAAAAAATATTCATCATTGTAATAGACTAGAAAAGAACCGGCATTTAGAATATTAAAGTTTGTTATATTTTTAACAAAAATGTAATCGTAAATCTATTTCCAGCCAGCATATCAACAACACAATCTACTATTGTATTACGCAATATTGTCACCAATGCTTTTTTCTTGTTATCAAAGTATTCTATCCGTTACGTTGTTGGTATTAGACACGGTTTATTTTTCACAGATTGAACAATGCCGGATCTGGGGCGTGTCCAGTCGTATTGTCATATACTTTTAGGTGCAATAAATTATGACTATATAACTAATGATATAAGTGCTTTCAAAGATGATTACCAGTTACGCCGATTACGGATATTAATGAAAACCGAGAGAAAGTACCACAAAATTACACTAGATGATGAAAAGTGCGTGAAATTGCAACAAGAACATAACATTACGTATGGCAATTTATTTATATATTTGAGTACCAACAGTGTTGACATCTACTCTACCATGTGTTATTATAATAATACATGGTATTCTACATACTTATACTTATTGTTTTTATTTAATATAAATATTATTTACAAAGTTTGCATGCCAGCAACTGACGCATCACTATTGTGCTAAGTAAAAAAGTAAATAACTAATTACCATGTTTTTCTGCAAATAACTAATGACATTGTTATGGATATTTGTAAGAATGGATTCAGGATTATACATTAATAGGATTCATGACACCATCTTGCTGGAGAAATTAAGTACGATCTTTTTCATAGGGATCGCGTTGATATCAAAGAATTATTTCTAGTAATTGAGTTCAAGTTCACGTTATTAACAATTTATACTCGAGAAAATTGTTAATAACTGGGAGTTTTGCCAAAAAGCAGTACAGCAATTATCAGTTATTTAAATATTTATTTTTAAATTAAATAACAAAGGATCATTGATGGTTATAATAAAGATTGGGTTTATTCTACGACAAATATCAAATGCAATACTTAACCTTATAATATTTTGTACGTATAATGTAAGTAAATAGTCTCACAATAGTCTATTAACAACTACATAAGTTTACTATATTTAACAAAATAAATATAAAATTAAACAAAACAATATGTAAAAATATGAATTAAATTAGAGATTATCGAAAATTGTAGGCAATATTTTGCAATTTTGTATTTAGTAATATTATATAATAACTACGAGATGTTGCTTCTTGGTAACTATATTGTTCTGTCATATGCTCACACATACACACGCTCATACATACATACATTCCATACACAGCTTTTTATTAGTGATAAGGTTTGTTTATATAATTATTGAATAAATATACTGGCGTCATTACACCTAAATGGGGAAGAATACACAATTAACTGAAGTGGTACCGCCATATTATAACACTAACAAGTAGTCTAGTCTTATACTGATATAAATTGAAAAGAACAATTATATTTAGAAACACTTTTGGTATAAAAGTTCACTAGAGTAATGAAGAAATATCTTAACAGGGGAAATCATTCTTTTAATAGCTGTTGTATGTTAATTCCTTGCATAAGTTAATTAATATCTTAACCTTTCTTAAATGTTTATTCCCCAAACATTAAAATCTTTACGATGTCCATAATTTCTAAAACGAATCTTTCGCGCCATTTCTCTTAGACCAGTTTCCGTCTGGCATTATCCAAAATTAATAATAACTTTTAATTTTAAAAATCGATTTGTACAACCGATTCGTACTATATATATATATTTTTATAAAATTGGTTGAGTTTAATATTTATTTAACTAATAACTGAAATTTACGTTATAATACAATGGCGCCCTCTATTACAATAAACTGCGAGTTGTGTTCTTTTTTAATAAACAACAGTTTCAATTCCACCAGTCTTAATTATTTGTTGTATACCTCCAGCCCTGGAGAAGGAGACGGGAGTCTCTTCGCTGATGCTATTGTCGTCATTCGATAGAAGTGCTGTTTCACCAGTGGAACCTATGAATGAGTTCTGCGGACTGTCAAATCCTGTTTGATCCTCAGGATATGTTACTGGGTATTCGGCTGATGGTTCAGCACTAACTGATACTGGTATGCCTACACTGTGAGTGGGAGCCAAAGATGCAAAAGCTGTCTGCTGCCCTCCTCCCGTAAAGGATTCCACATCACCCAAAGCGGATGTCGGTTCTGGAGCAGTTGCAAATGGATCGTGGGTCTGAACAGAGGTTTGAGGACTTAATTGACTAAAAGAATCAAGTGTTGGGGCATCAGCGCCTCGTACGAACGAGAAGGTCGCAGGGTACGTCTGTTGTAGACTATTCACGGCACTGAATGAATCGTCGTCATCATCATCAGCCTCTGTTACTTCGTATCCGTGAGAAGGATCAACATTGATGTTGCCGGGTATAGCACCTGGTAATGAATCAAACACTTTCACTTGTTTCACTGTATGTGTTACTCCATGTACCTGAGGTGTAATTCCATGGTATTGAGGCGCTTGAGCAATACCCCCATACACTGGTGCTGAGGGTGTAAACGACGAGCCAAAGTCTTCTTCGAAGGTTGTGCTCGGAGAGTCGTAGGAGACAGGAGGGTCGTAAGAGACCGGATCGTGATGATGATGTCCGTGATGTCCGTAATGCCCGTGATGGCCGTGATGCCCATGATGACTGGTATGACTATGATGCCCGTGGGAACCATGGTGATGACCATGTCCGTGATGACTGTGCCCATGACCTTTAGACACTGTCTTCGTAGTGACATGAAGTTTCTTATGGTGATGGTGGTAATTCGGAACATGATGAGTAACATGAGGCTTGTGGTGATGGTGGTGATGATGATGGTGGTGCTCCTTCTTCGGTTTATGATGATGGTGGTGAATGGTAATCACTTTTGTGTGGTGATCGTGATGGACAAACTCCGGCATATGGATTCTGACGTGGTCACTGCAAAATGATATCAATGTTAATAATGCATTACTCCCTGTTGAACTTCATCTACCTATATAAATCTAGCATTCGCTTATAAAAACTTCGCATTGAAAATATAAATATAATAATTTTATTATCAAAAATTTATTAGAAAATGAATGGATATATGTAGAATATAAATTATTAAAGTTCGCATATGTGATTAATATGCAGAAGCACATTTTTTTGTTCTAAATTACTTTGCAAGCATTCGCCATCGGCATGTTCAAATTAAATTTATTATAAAAACAACTCTTACTGGTGTTTCCCTCCGTGTCCACCTGACTCTCCATCACCGAAACAGAACACCACCAACACTGTCAAATACTTTATAAAATCCATGGTTCGAGTGTAACTGATGGCACTACAAATATTGTCCGTAGCACGCTGTGTCTATAAGTCAACAGAACTAATAACACCAAGTTAAACCTTCTCACATTTTGTTTTACATCACAAACTGTACTTTCTTTTCTTCCCTGTTTTTGGTTTTATTTTAAACCATTGGACCGGCTATCACGCGGCCGCCCGCCGCAACGCCACTACGCCGGATTGAATAGCGAAACATCGTGAGATGACCATTTATCCAATTTCACTTAAATAAACCCGTAATATCAACAAAAAGACAACAATTGGTATTGTCAGCGGAGCATGCCGAAAGACGTACCAATGCAGTAGGTGCTGGAATGTCGCTCTAATTCCGATCGATGCAGAGTTCGATTCGTTGGCGGGCCGATTTTTGTGTACTCGTTTTTTGTGGTCACTGTGCGAAATAACTATTTCGCTGTTACAAAATTACGCATTCGGTTCCAAGTACTGCAGTCTGATGCCGTAATCGTGGCGGTATTGCGATATAAGTGTTCCTTGTCAATACACTTACTTCCGTACGTTGAGCGAGACAATGTTTTATTAATATAAAACATCTACGCTGAAGGGTTTGTTTCATTAATCGCACACATCTCGAAATTAGTATAATTTGACAAATGTTTTTTTGTGTCAATATCCCAATTCTTGAAATTAAATATCACGCAGCGCAAGTTCCATCAAAAAGAAAAATTTAAGAGGGCACACTAAACGAAATCTAACTGTCCACACCACATAGTCAACAGCTATTTAGTCAGTTAGTATACAAAAGTATTGAATCCACATTCAGTATCAGGGATGTTATGGATATGAAATTTCGGATACGGATAGGTTTCGGATATAGGAATGATTATTATGCCGGATACGGATACGGATATGGATATGAAATTATTTCGGATTATCCGTTAGTTTCGGATAATTTCGGTTACGGATATTAATGTTTTAAGGAATTTAAAAAGTAAAATATAAGTAGCTAATAAAATGGTTACATAACGTGTCTCTATTAGGCTTCGTCCCTATCCGATATTATCCGAAATTTTTATTTCGTATTCGGTTACGGTTACGAATATTTTTATATACCGGATATCCGATAGTTTCGGTTACGGTTACAGAGCTACATAACAGGTGGGTCACTATACTACTTTATTAGGTACGCGTATGAACGTCACCGACATTACAAAATGCACAGTGATACCTGTGGCTTCTCCATACCACTACTCTGTAATCCCCTGTCATGACTAACTTTGCAATTAGATATACAACTTGCAAAGTACGCTAGCTTGGCAGTACGAGTCGCCTATCTACAAAAACTCTAATCGAAAGACTAACTAGTATTCTGTGGTATCTAACTAATCTGTACCTTTTGCGTCAAACAATTACAGAAACTTATTTGGCCCTAAAAGAATATAATGCACTTAAAGGTCATAAATGGGTTAGTAGTATATATATAGTATCTATAAGGTGATTTATGATGACGAGTGAGTTTTTAAATTATTTTATGATACTCTATAAATGATTTAATACTTGTAACGATGTATCGATCTATAATCGGGGCCAATAAAAAGGGTAAACAAAACCGTGGTCCCTCGCGATGCGGTGGCGTCAAATAAATAAGCCTCAGAGGTTTGTAGGCGTCAGACTGAGCCCGTAAATATTTCTAAGTGTAAACGGGACCCATTAAAATTTAATTATCCGTTCCATTCCGATTTATTGATTTCCCTCGGGAAACATTCCTTTGAGAAATTTACTGTGGCCACCAATTATTTATATGGAGGTTATCAGTGCGATGCGTGATGTAATAATGATTGGAATATAATATACATTTAAAATACTTTACTAGCTGCATTCGTGATTTACGTCACCGTTAGAAATTTCAATAAATATTCATACATGGACATACATTTTTAACAATTTTGGACAACTCGCATTGAGGCATTCTAAACCAAATAACTAAGTACCTATAACTTATAAGCACTACACAACTGATATTTGTGTTTGTCCCTATCTCTACATCTTTTTATTTTCGACATTATAAATAAAATTTATTTTGGCAGTGTGTAGTTGGTGGACATATATAAAGATAGCCATAAATAAAGATTGTAACAATAATTATTTTTGGTTCTATTATGTTTATGATGTGCTCCAATAATTTGTTTTAGATTGTTAGCTTTTCTGATATATCAATGTACACTCAGCGACCACTGCACCTTTTTATTATATACTAGTTATCCGCCGTTTACTCAGATAAACCTCCTCTTGACTCGCTCTATCTATTGTTATAATTTTAATGCAGTTTGCATTAAAATCCGTTGAGTACTTTAAAAAATCAAAGCGAACAAACAGACAATGTAAGTGACTTCATTCTTTAATCTTAAAATATAGAGATTTAAAATAAAAGAATTGACATGTAAATAAAATACTACAAATGAGAATTATATTTTATTATAATTTTTATAATAGAATTATTTGCAATAATAAAGGAAGTAAAATCGCATAGCTCTTGTTTAGAAAAATCATATGTTTACACCTGTATAAGGTGTGTATTATAAACATATGATTTTTCTGCAACGACAATATTTTTTTTTATAATAGCTTATCATATATTTATTGTTAAAAATAAATTACTTAACTACCTCAAGAACAGTTGTAACATTTTATTAGAGAATACATTTAATTACACAATCAGGTATTTAGTAAATATGTATCATCATTTTACAAGAGTTGTTAATAATTAAATTAATTAGTAATATATTATTGGTTAATACTTCTAAAACTAAATGTGTTATATTGGGATCCATTATGCGATAAATATTTCATAATAATTCGCTTTTACACTCGCGTTTGTTCAAAAATTAATTAGTATTAATTGAATTAATAAATAACATTTAACATCTATATTTTTATATTAGATATGTTAATATTATTAATAAAATTTATAAATCCAGTTAATAATTAATGTCTTGAGACCTTTTGAAATGAAAATGTTATTATACATTTACAATTAAAGCGTTTAGTTACTTATTAATTTATCACAAAGCTGGATCACGATTCAGGTACTGTAGTCAGCCCAAAAAAAAAAAGAATATAGAATAGAAATATATTTTAATTTAGTTTTTATATAACATAAGCTTTTGTTATTTATAAAAGCTTGATCTTATACTATCATTAACAATTACATGTCCATCAAAAAATGTAATTAGTATAGAATAATTAAAGTCATAAATAAATAATCATTATAAATAGCTAAATTATATAAGTGATTCCCCAATAAAGTATTCTGATTATTAGTATCTTAAAAAACATCCATAAATTATTTATATTAAGTATTTTAAATGTCGATATAATATAAATTAACAACATATAAGTCTTAATTCTTTGGTTTGTGGGCAAAGGAAAAATATAGGGCCAGAAATATGTCACTTAATAATTACTCCATACAATAATCATATTTTGTACAATATTATTAATTAATAATGTCGATTAATTAAAATATAATGGAAACGTTGAAAAGTTATATAATCTTACAATTGGTTCGTGATATATTCCTTTGTTTCCAGATTCGGCGTTTGTTTAGTTATCCTTGTTAAATTTAGGCATTACCAAATGTACATATGGCATTTTCTTATTTCAGTCTAATTTCTCAACAGTCTGGATCAACTGTAAGAAAGAGAAGTTCAATTAGTTTTATGCATTTTAAAAATTGTCTGACTTGAGAAATAATATAGAAGACAGCCTATGAATATTATTATGTTAATAATAATAATATAATTTAACATAACTTAATGTTAAATCAATAAAGTTGATTTAAAAGAAAGCTATCTTCTATATTTTTTTTTTATTTTGCAAGTATACTCGTATATCTACGAAATAAGAATATCCTTTCTTGGCAGCAAAACTCAACAATATCGATGTAAATCATAGAAATTTCGAAATTAACACAATATTTAGAGCTACTCGTAAATAACGGAATAAATTGATCATAATGAATATATCATATCATATCTAAGGCACACTTTATTGTAATTAAATCAAAACACTGTATTTTAAATTACATTAAATTAAAATATCTTTACTCATAAGTAAAATCTACCGTCAGTTCGGAATGCTTTCGAGCTAAGAAGAAACTCAGCTCTTATTTATTTCAAATGAGCTAGTACATTTACTTACCTAATGTCTAAAAAGTGGGATGCCGTGTCGTTTCGAATGCAATGGCAGTTCACGTGGAATTTTAGGCAAATCTAACGGATCCAATGGAACATCGGGTAGAAACTCAGGGATGCCAATACCCGGGATAGGCTGAGTATGCTGCCCCAGGGGTGGTGGCGGCGGTAGTTCGTCATGTAAGTGCATGTGGTGGAAATGCTCGTGCTCCTCGGATGGTGATATCGCGTGGTCAAAATGCGGGTCGTGGTGAGCGTGATGATGATGAATCGTCTTATACACCGTGTGTGTATGCTTTATCTTCTTCACTTTGTAAGGCACGTGTATGACAACCTTTTTTGTCCGTCTACAAAATAAAAGTACGCGTTAATACATATGAAAGTATACTTACTTACAAAGTATCCTCTATGTCTGGTTTTTTACAAGTAATTAGGAAAACAAGTTAACAGCTCATCTGATAGTAACCGTCATCGAGGAATTAAAGAACGAATCACAGCAGAACACCACAGACATCATATTATAAAACATCTGTGTCATGATTTTTTTACAAGTGATAAGGAAAACAAGTATTATTAAGTAAGTAAGTAAGTAAGTGATAGTGATTATCATCTACAAATTAAAGAATGAATAAAACTATAGACATCATGTCATCAAATGACGCCAGTGGTACAACGCGTTGTGAGTGAACCAAGGTATTATGCCTCAGGACCTTGTAATAATAAGCTTTATCTTATCCTTCAGCCAAAGCTGCTTGGTGGCTGAAATAGGCAAGACGGAGGTACTCATGTAGAAGATTTTTTACAAAATCCGCCTCTGTATGTATATCTAATAGATAATAATAATATCACAGGACAGTTAACACCGCACCAACTAGACTCAAGTTCAGAGCTTGTGTTATCGGTACTAGACAATGTAAAGAAATACTTAGATACATTTTTTGTAAATACATAGATAATTTACAAACAATTATCAAATACAAATGTTTGTATCATGCAAGGAACCGAACCAGCAATCATCAGATGTAAAGCCGTGTGCTAAACTGCCTGACCACGAAGTCGTCTTATGAATGATAGAGTATATAACAAGTGTGATCAGAACATAAGATAAATACGTCCATATAAGAGAAGAATCCCTGAAATAAAAGCATGCAAGCGGCCTGTGCTATACGATGTGTGCGCACGATGGTCGCGGGTCGATTCCTCGCACGGTACAAACATTTGTATTCATGAAAATGATTGTTATATCGGTCTGGGTGTTTTCTATGTATAATACGTAAGTATTTACGAAAAAAAATATCTATATATATATTTGTATCAGTTATCTAGTACCCATAACACAAGCTTTAGTTAGCTTTACTTGGGTCTAGATGGCGCTGTGTGAATTGTCCTGAGATTATTATTATTATTATATTGAGTTAGCGTTACTAGCCTTACATTAATTATTACAACATATAGCATACAAAAATTTAGAAATTACCTTTCAGGTGAGTTGAATTGGATATCAATGGTATCTATTGTGAACTTGACGCTATTTAACAAATAATGACTGAACTCTTCTGGGGGTACTACGTTTAACAATATATCTGCACGTACAAAAATCACGACCAGATTTGATTGAGAAATAATATTTTACAATGTAAGTTACTTGCGTAAATCGTGATAAAGGTTTATCTTTATTGTAGAACTCTAATTATATAAGAGTTTGAATGTGCCATTGGTTTACGACCCTGAATTACACCCAAAGTGCCGAGAGTACAAATCTTAGCCAACACAAAAAAAAGTAAAATTACATTTCTGACTGAATCTGTGATGAAGGATACTCTGATACCAATTAAAAAATATTCCGAGAGACAACCTTAGGATCACTCCCTTGCACATTGCTTTAATTATTTATATATTGCATTCCATAAATTTCTGGTAATTAGTTAAAATTACCTTGTTGGCACAGCAAGCAGAAGAGTAGAGTTTCTAATGTACCGAGCGAAATGTGGGCACGTCAAGTGTTAGGTTGATCATAACGCGAATATTTGACAAAGCCCCAAACTACCCTATTTGGTTTTTTTTTGGACTGCACTAATGCTGTTGGCCTTTACAGCTTCACCGGACGATAGGGGGCGAGTGCAGATGGCACTCCAAATCCGCGGAAGGACTTACGGAGCGGCTGCAGGCCAACTCCCGCCTGATGGATACGACTTTAGCCTGAGGGCATCGCTAGGGGTTCGAACCTCTGCTCAGGCCTTCGTAATTTCGATACTCGTTTAAATTGGACGGGCGATCAAACGCAGGACTACCCTATCTGTTATAACGATCGTGACGATATGTGTGTACGAATTGTTTCCGTTGTACACTACTCATTTCAGAGACTTCCTAGTTGGATGCGCGTGAGTGACAACTCAGGGTTTCCTGTGCGGTAGTATTGTATATGCAGAGACACTATTGCATTATGCACTATTGGTGATAAATGTATTATGACATTGTATTCAGTTTTACTTTACTTTTAATATTAATTTTATTGATCATATTTATCTCCTTTATTATTTTCTGTGTACGAACTGACACTTTTTGTTTAGATATATTGTTTCAATTATATTTATAATGGTTTTGTACGTATATTGATGCTTAAACATTTCAGGTTTTGTTATATACTATGTATATAAGACACTGTACAACAATAAGAGAGAAAGAAATAAGAACACTGCAGAATAAATTAAGCACTGGCTGTAGTAATTTGTAGTATTTTTTTAGATACCTACATGAATAATGTTTATTTTGCTTGAAACTTACCCATCTGCATACGCAAATATCGACATAAAGAACACGGCTAGCAGGAATAGCAGCTGTAAATGAAAATTGTACTATATAGAATAATTATACTTATATATAATTTATTTATATATTTATTGACATCAAAACTAATATAAATAATAATAATAGCATAAAGACGTCGAAAGGACAATATGAATACTAAATAATTTCTAAATAGCTAATTTAGTTTTATATAATAATTATAATAATTTTATATTGTTTATATAAATAATAATTTTATATATTTACGTAATTCGGAAATAAATTAAAACAAATATAAAACATTACAAGTACAAAAGCAATGCTGTTCATTGTAGTTATGTTGGTGTTCACAATGTAAGTAAAGTAATAAATAAGAAATAACAGCATCTCATTGACATGAGTGATTAATTTGTTAAAAGACCGATCGAGCGTTATTTACACGGTAACAAAAACTAGCTTACCGCAGCCCGACAATCCATTATCATGTATCTTTTGTTATATACCAACAATGTGGTGAAAATCACAAAGTAACATAAACACGTTGCAGACAAAAAGTAGGAGAGCGTGTGAATATAAACTGATCAAATTCGCGCGACGTTTTTCCCGCAACGGAAAATGGATGCACTTTTATGCAAGCGATGACTCGAAAAAGATGCGTTCGTGCCTAACGATAAACTGACAATGAAAGGCTGAATACCAGTCAATACTTATATATGCTATACTGGAACGTATGTGCGAACATCCCAACAACATATCGAGATATACACGCGTTGTATGTTTCTCACTCCTGGACTCCAAAATTAACATTACTCTTTCACCTTTCAGCGCATATAATAAATAGTGTAAATGGCAGAATTGATGAATTGATGAATTGATCTAGATTTTACCAAATAATTGTTGTATAAACTAATACATTTAGAAAATATTTTATTAATGAATCGCATTTAGAATACCTTGATGTTTCATGAGAAAAATGTGAAACAATTGTTCAATCTTAAAACACGATTTATTATATATTTTACTGGCGACCATATCAAAAGCTCATTGTGCAATGACAAAGAATTATCCGATGTTAAACTGAAATAAGATCGTTCGTAGATCCAAAGTATGGACGAACTATCAAACAGCAATGATTGACAAATTCTACACAAATTACTAGACGTAGTAACCTTAACACAGGGAGTTAAGGTACTTGAATGGCACATGCTAACAATTATATTTATGTAATACAATATAATATAATTGATGTATAATAAATAATGTCATGAAATTAAAAGTTATATTCTATATGATAACATGCTGGTGACAACAGAAAAGAGTGGGCAAGAAATGGCCGGTGCTTCTTTTAAGTTGAATTTATATAACTTTATATGTTTCTGAATTTGGTACAATCTACCAAAAATATACATATATTGATAAGTATCAAAATACTTGTGCATTCTTCATTTATAAAAATGATGCATTCATCAATGAATGTCTACTAGAATTCATAAAAAAATATTACAAAATGACGTTCCCAATTAATGACGAAACGTTTTGGAACGATTTTGTACGCGATCGAATTTTACAATCAATAACGTAGCTGGTCTCTTTAATAATATCGCATTAAGTTTGTTTACGTTACATTCAGATTGTTGACAGAGTCGGGGACTAAATCGATTTTATCTTTAGCAATTTATTGCAAAAATACGCAAGCAATTATGTACAGTTTCACGCGGCGTGGCTGAGTAGCGTGTCTAAATATATTATCAAATTAAGGTGTCGAAAACCATTAAGCCAATCTGTCATTGTAAAATTAGTATACAAGTACCTATAAACTTTGCTAAATCAAATATTACAATACAATCCTGCAAATTCTCTGTTTAAGTCTAAGTAATGAAACCACTACAAAATATAATACGAGTTACTAAGTTACATTCAAGAATTCATTACTAATGTTACGTGAAAGCAAATTTTATATGTTAGTTTATTATGCTTTTACTCATTATTGACTAAAGAAATCATCATTGGACTTACCATATACGTAATATATGGATAGAGTCGTATAAGTATATTTATTTATTTATTTTCTTCTATTCATAACACTATATTGGGATGTAAATAAATTCAAAAGTTTTAAAATAAAAGGCCGTCTTACCGCTAATGTGATTTCTTTTATTCAACAAGAAATAATAGTATTAAAAAAATCCGGTCTATTTACAGGAATTCATGTATGGGAGTTTTATTATTTTATTTTTAGTCACTAGACTAGAATAATAATAATAATTATAACCTCTTGTCTCTGAACAATTCACACAGTGCCAATTAGTCTAACCTAATCAGAGTTTGTGTTGTAGACAACTGACTAAGACAATACTTAGACTAATGTAAATATTTTTTTCTGTAAATACATTCATAATATATACAAAGAATAGACTCAGAGCAACACAAACAACAATAATCATAAATACAAATGTTTGTGCCGTGCGTGGACTCAAATCTATGATATCATCGGAAGTAAACTGGTGTACTAAACCGCTAGATCACCGAGGCCGTCAAAATGGTGAATAGCAATCTAACACCTGACCTGATTGTAGGCAGTAATACCTATATACGATTAAATGAACACCATCCACATTGTTATCTAATGCCCGTAATATTATTCATAAGTTTAGACAAGGCTTACAGTTTTACATAAGTTCACACCCTGTAAAATCAAACATTTTACAATATTTTTTTACAAATATGGAGGAGTATAAAATTTAACACACTTATAGTTTATATAGAAAAGGAATGTAGAATGAAAATTAAACATGCTTATTTCTTTAAAAAACATTTAGATTACAATAAAACAGACCTAGTAAGCTTAACAATATCTGTGTTAGGTACATCCCGCTCTTCCATGTACAATAATGTACATTACCGTACATGTTTTTTTTTAAGATTTATTTAAGACATTAGTTACCAAATATACAGAATGCTAATATTTTTTTAAATTATGATTAATAATTTAATTATTAAAAAAAGACATTACAGACACTACCATGTATTTGACTCACACTCACACCCACAGATATAGAAATAGAAATAATCTTTATTCAAATAAACTTAATATAAGCAATATATATATATATATATATATATATATATATATATATATATATATATATATATATATATCACATGCATATCTTATATACAAAATTCTCGTGTCACAGTTTTCGTTCCCATACTCCTCCGAAACAGCTTAACCGATTCTCAAGAAATTTTGTGAGCGTATTGAGTAGGTCTGAGAATCGGCCAACATCTATTTTTCATCCCCCTAAATGTTACGGGTAGTCCACCGCTATTTTTTTTTTATTTTAAGGCAAAACAACGTTTGCTGGGACAGCTAGTATACTATTTTGTTACCAACAAAATATTATTTTGTTTAATTGTTATTGCTGGTTCAAAGATAGTTTTTATTATAGGTATTATAGTCGAATTTCGAACACTAATTATTATAAATATGTGGGACAGAGGTACTCGCAAATAACATTGTACTCGTACAATGTCGAACATAAAAATTCTAAAGTGAATAAAATGACCAGCAGCATATGCTATTATTATTGTAATATTTCATAGCCATTAATTATATCTTCAGTTGTTACCAAAGGCGATGAGAGCGAAACTGATGGGAGTGAAAGACTTATTGTCACACTAATTATGTTTTTTATTTATGTTGAACACACATTAGTACAGGGATCGAAGATAGCAAATGATTCGTATGAAACTTTGAGTTCTCATTGTTTTTCCGACAATTATATTGTTCTCAAGTATTAGAAGGTACATTCTAATATAACCAATACAATCTACTAATATATCTATAAACACTAAACTGCTTACTGGCTAAGCAGAGAGAATTGAGTGTTTGTTATAAACTTCAATCACCAACTGCTCAAAATTTGCCTTAGCATAATCGCATGCAGGTTTAAATGATTTTATCATTTCGGGTTATTTATTCTACTAAAATAAAAAGTCAAAATCAATAGGCATTCATATAAGACATTTTGGCTGCTTACGAACGTTAAGTTTTTTGTATTAAATTAATTTTACCCGTCCAATTCAGAATATAGATTCAATTCAAAATTATAAAGTAGTATAGGTTATATAGATACATAGATTTTTTATGTATGTTGTATGTTTTACGGCTCTAGGTACCAGCCGAAAACATAATAAATAATGACTGACTACTTTTGAGCCCAATCTTAAAAAAGCAATAAATTGTTACACACTACATTATTTTATTACAATTTAAAAAATTCAGTAATTGTCAATGCCATGTATTTCGTGCGAGATACTCGACACTCGTATTTTTTTTTATTAATTAACGTATATTTTGCGGCCCTGGATATAGGGTAAGGTATACAAATGTTACCATTACATAATCAACTTCCCGTTTTTACAGCTAAAATATTACTGTCTGCAATTAAATATCATAAACTCATATAATAATTATGTATACGTTTGCACGTAAACCTTATTGTCTGGCACTCCAATAATATGCGCTTTCATGATTATGAAGTACTTCCTGCAAATCATCTCATAATCAAATCATTAGCGGAACCAATAATCAATAAAATTGTTATTGCATTATATTTGTATATATGCACATTCTAATATTATAATCACGAAAGTGAGTGTTTGTTTACATTACTCAATGGAGAAACCAATAATGATGAGATTTGTCATATAGGTAGCGTTTGGTATGGAGAAGAACAAAGCCAAATTGTAATTTAGTCATAAGAAGTCACTGGGACGATCTATATAAAAAGAAAAATTAATAAAAACAATCTTTATCCTTTATTTATACATTATCTTTTTATTAATTATTCATAAATTATTATAAATGTAAATAAATATTTATTTAAATATACCTATAGATATACGTATATAAAAACTGGCGATGTTTACTTTCTACTGTATTTATTGCTTAAATATATTTTTTTGTAAATATATACATAATATACATAGTACTTGTCTAGTACCGATACGCAAGCTCTGTTTATCATGGCACTAGATGGCGTTGTAGTAATTGTCCAGGGTTATTTATTTATTTATATACTGGAGTATATAAGTACTAACAATTACAATTATAGTTATTCCAATATATTTATTTTTGTAAATCCATCGTGGGCACTTTTCTATTCAACGTTGACTGATCCAATACTGCAGACGAAGATGACTGAAAAAGATTAATATTATGTTCATTCTTTCTACTGAGGTGTTGCCAAGCAGCTTGCTTCGTTCTAATGAGATATGGCAGTGAAAATATAATGTACATGACACCTTAGCCTCAGGAATGGGAATTCATGAGAATATGGTGCGATGAGTTCGACAAGTGGGAATTCATGAGAATATAGTGCGATGAGTTCGACAAGTGGGAATTCATAAGAATATAGTGCGATGAGTTCGACAAGTGGGAATTCATGAGAATATAGTGCGATGAGTTCGACAAGTGGGAATTCATGAGAATATAGTGCGATGAGTTCGACAAGTGGGAATTCATGAGAATATGGTGAGATGTGTTTGAGAAGTGGAACTCATGAGAATATGGTGCGATGAGTTCGAGAAGTTGTAAATATGTGACGGTTACCAGAAAATGGTAGCTTGTATAATAATCTTGATGGACCATCAGCTTGTATAATTGACAATCTGGTCTAAAGATTTAACACACGGCCTTACTTCCAATGGTCACTAGTTCGATTCCTAGCATGGAACTAATTTCTATTGAGAAGTATGGTTTTTAATAACGTTTTTATAGGTAGATAATGTTTTTACAAAAAAATCAATGTTTTTACAAAATCTCGAAATTATTAACTTTCGGCTTTTAAGGACGTCATATTTTTTATCACTAACCTTAACGTCTACATAGTTGCTGGCTGGCTACTTCAGTTGTGAAGAACTGGTAAAATACTCAACTGGGCCATTTTCATTACACTATTTTTTTAGTCGATTTCAATCTTTAAACCAATTTAATCACATGCTACATGAGGTCCGTGGTGCTGTTCATATATATAGACGACGGTATACTTACCATCTGTTTACCATCACATTACATTTGTTTACCATTCTAGTTACAATTTCTAAAAATCTTACCCGGAAATTTTTAAAATGTTTCCATAACGCATAGCGCAACTCCCAATCCTCAAAGAACAGCGTCGGTTTATTCCAAGTTATGTGATGATGATCAATTTTATAGAACAGCATCAATGGTGGATTCAATTGAGGCGCCTCTTTCGCTCGCCTCGATATTATTTGATTTACATAACGGTACAATACAGGAGCTTTGTGAACCCAACACACCATAGACATTATAGAAACGACGATGGCATGCATCCAATAACGACATGTGGCTGATAAATTCTCGCCATTTAAAGCATAATCTTGAATAGCCATAACCATACATGATGCTGTAGCAGCTGTTAACCCACAAGGCACTTCTAATACCAAACAGCAGATAACAGCAAAAATCGCCTTCAAATTGACAATACTGATGCAATGCAGTTTAATAGCTTTAAGAAAGTGCTCGTGGAACTTTTCCCTGTACTGGCGAATGAATGCTTTATCACCGTTGTCGTATTCTCCAATTTTTAACCGAACCTTAGCAAGTAGAAGAACTTATTATAACTAAAAGTATGTAATATCTATTTCTTACTAAATATATAATAAATATGTTTCAAAGTAATTTAATGTATTATCTTGATTTCAAATTAATTTATAATTATAATTAATAGGGCGATACGTGGCAGTGACATTTTATTTCTCAAGGATAGTATCGCATTTTTCAGGATATCAACATAATATTATAAATGCGAAAGCGAATTTGATTTTTACAATATGAGACTTCAGTAGCATAATCATACATAATCATCGAGAAAATGCATATATTATTAGCGATGAATAGGATATTACTATAGTTACAATAATGTTTACGACAATCTTTTAATAAAGTTCAACTTACCTGTGAGAATTCATAGTATATCGTCGGTACAATTAAATAACAACTATTATTTTGGCGATCTAAAAATCTTTCTAAAAGACGACAGCCAACTAAGCTGTAAATAGAATTTGGAGAGCTGACTAAATTACTCAAAACATGATCAACGAGTCCTTCACGGAAGCTCTCGCTATAAGCACCCACTGTGTATAATTCTGCGGCATGGTCCAACAAACAGGAGAACTCTAGGACATCATCATCGTTCATGTTCACCATTGAGAACCAGTTAAGCATAGTAGTTATAATAATCAAGCGCTGATTATTTTCAGCCCTTTCAAAAATCCTCCGAAGACAAACCTCAAAACCTTTCCGCAGGTATGTATACACTATTATCCTGTTGTCGCCTTTTGCTATACTGTAAGCGAAAAAGTCTAAAAGTCGCGTTATAAATGGTAACAATTTCTGTTTTTCAATAATCCAGTTACTACTTTTAAGTAACTCATATAATACTCTTATACGATGTCTCGCTGATTTAATATCACAGAACATCGCATAATGTATGTCCGTCAGCATTAGATTGAATAAAGTAGTCTTCCCTCTATTGAAATAAAGAACCACCTCTAAAACTTGTCCAACAAAATTCTCAAATGGCCACAGAGCGACTTCAGTAAAAAAGTTTAAAGTGATTTTTATAGTTGGATCACTACGTTCCGGTTGTAGGAAGTCCATAGTTTTTTGGAAGGCTTCTTCGACTTTGTGAAACATCCTTTTACCACACCAATACCGATATCTAGACGTCAGTCTGCTTAGTTTCAAACGCATACCAAAATAATAAACCAAAGTCAGGGCGCATAGAAGTAACTCCTTAAATTCTGCCTCCTGTAAGTCCTGTCGAGTGCAATGTCTCAGAATGTACATTAACTTATCTATAGCGAGTACTTTACTCTGATGGAATGCAGTATTTAAATCCATTGGCATGTATACATGGTGTAGTTGATTTATTTTTTCTTGCAAATCCGTACCTTGCAATGTTTTACTTCTATTAGTCGTGAACATATTTAGAAGAACGAATTTATAAATAATTTATTGCCTTTATTGAAATCTCAGATATATTTATTCGTATGTTGTTTGGCAGTATTTACTTTTTATTTTTTTCCTTTAGAAAGAGGCTAAGTTCCGATATCATGCTGCCTAATCGGTGTGTTATTTTTTAAAACTTGACGTAACAAATAATGTATAAGAAATCTCTTAACAATTTGAGTACGGTGTAATGATCAAATATGTCATTACTTCTACTTTCTTCTGTTACACATTTTTATAATCTGTGCTATTTAGTAGTTTGTATCCTAATACAATATCAGTCCTTAGTTTGTACCTCAAGGTTTTTTTTCAGTTCGGTCAGGTCAGTTAGCTCATCGTGATAAATTCACCTCGAATTTATCACGATGGTTTCCAGGGGGAACCCCGTGGAGGTCAACCTGACAATGGGTCGAGAGTCCACATAACTAACAATTCCATTCCTCCCTGTATCTCAAGGTTGTTATTACACAAAATCATATATCGTGTATAGATTTTTTTGTCACGGGACAGAAGTAAAGTATGACAGGATTAATTCGCCAGGGTACATTGCTAGCAATTGTATTCAAAGTGACTGTGTGTGTAGTAACTTCATACATGATAAAATAGAATAAGAATAGAATAGAATAGAAAATCATTATTAGTTTCTTATTCTCATAGGAATCTACAATGTGGAAACAAAGTCACAAATCACCAGTTAATAATATTGTTATGTTTTAATCATACGTTTTCATTTTCATTAATGATATTTCGTTGATTCTAGGAGTGAGAAAATCTTGCATGATAACAATAACACGTCTGTAACAGTGTTTGACAAATCGGTGTCCGTTACCTAGAGTTGCTAAAACTATAATTACCATGTACAAAGTAACTAGTATGAAACCTGTGACGAAATATCTTCCCGTTACTTTAGTACTCATATAGTTAAGAGATAACATTTAGTAAGTAAGTAGTAAGTACTATAAATAGAGACTATAGACAATTGCGATACTAAGAATACTAGGAATCTAATATAATATATCAAATTACGTTCTTTCAATTGTATCAAATATAACTAGTAACGTAACATGCCGTAGTAACGAGTACTAATTACTTTAGTAACTAGTACATATAGTTACTGTATTTGTCGTTACTTTTATAGCTCCACTGTTATCAGAGCGTGAAAATAGAGTACACATTTACTTACTATGTTTTGATCGTTAGTGCTCGAGTGATATCGAAAACACAATGAAAGTGTTTACGTAATGTTACTTCCCAATAGTTTCCGAGTTGGGCGGGCCGTCGACCGCGCACCGCACGCCGACTCATTAGGGTTATCAACTGCTATTTTAAATAAGGGTTACCAGTTAATATGGGTTTCAGGATTTATAAATATAAATATGTATCGACGTAGACTTTCTACAAGTTCCCTCTATTACTTTCTTTACATTTCTTTTAGAGTTAGAGATTAGGCATTATAGGCAGTGAAATTATAAGGTCACTCAATAGTATAAACTGCGAACGACATGACCATATCCATGGACGACGTGACGTAGTTGAGAGTAGTAGTTTGAGAGGGTAACCCATAAAATACATGTTTTCTGGCAACCCTAAAATTACAGCAAAAAATCATGATCAACTTTACAATTACAGCACCAATATACTATACAACTCCAGTTACACATTGTTACCATTTCATAAGAGCTCATTAATGAATAATTCGCGTAGTATGCGATTTCCTTTAGGTAATTTCAACTACACTGTGAATAGGAACTATGTAATGAAATAAAACGGTTGATGAATTGATTGTACTATATACTATAGTATGCAAACTATTTATATTAACTACTTAACTTAACTTACTTACTACTTAACTATTTATATTGATCTAATTTTAATATATCATCGACATCTTTAGGATGACAGGGCCTAGATGCGGACGACTGAACCGATTTTGACGGGACTTTTATTAGGTAGCTGATCTATTTTTTTTTCTCAGGCCAATTTACACAACGCCATCTAGTCCCAAGCTAGGCAGAGCTTGTGTGTGGGTACTAGACAACTGATATTAATACATGGATATTTTTTTCTAAATGTATACATGTTATACATACATTACACCCACGTCGATACAAACAATCATACAAATGTTTGAACCGTGCGAGGATTCGAACCCGCGACCATCAGATAGTGAAGTGGTATGCAATACTACTATACCACCGAGGCTGTCACACGCTGTAATAAGGAGTAACTTAGGCTACTTTTAATTTTAGATTACTTTTATTTTACTGTCGCGGGTGCAGCTAGTTAAAAATAAAACTAAGTTCAAAAAGCAGCCTCATCGCTAGTGATATCTCTTCCAGACAACCATTGGAAAGAGAGTATTTACAAGAAAAATAGAGGTAGCGCATGAATGGAAAAAGGCTCGAAAAGTAAAATGTATCTGCTTTGTAATCTTTCGGTTAGAGGACGAAGAAGTGCATTGAAATTACAGTAAGACACCTTATGCATATCCTCCGGAATTGCAACGCATGAGTGATATCACAAGTATTACATGATAACGTAATGACAGCCGGTGTTCATGTAATATACACAGCGGGTACCACTTGTCCGATTGTTTGTCATAGCGTCATAGTAATTATGTGAAAAAACGATGATTATAGTTACTGGACTTTATACCTTAATGCAAATATAATGTGTGATAATTTCAGTTCTAAATGATCTTGATATTGGGTTGATTGTAAATTTTCATATATTGTTTTATTTTTTTCCAGGTAGACTTTGTAAGTCATGTATTTGTTTACCCTTTGCAAACACCTTTGCTTTGTAAGTTGTGTTGAGGTTACAGGTTAAGAGTGAAATTACAGTGTATAGAGGCATGACATCTTAGTCCCAGGAATGTAATGTAAATTGGACTCTGGGCCGTTATTCGTGTAGAGCCTGACTACTGAAGTAAGCCAAGCTCCTCCTAAAACGCAGATGTCTCCTAGTGTCCTTACAGGCTTCACTGAGGAAGCACGCACAGATTTGTTTAGTTCCAGAAAATGGTAACTCACAAAAAGACATGACGTCACAATATATGCCTCTTATAGAAAGCACTATGTATGTCTAAGCGGATTTAGATATATCAAAGTGCCGCTTAGATATGAGAAGTATAGGTCATCCTATGAGTGGTCATCTTATTTAACATCCTATAAAAAATCAATGAAAGTCTGCATAATCTTAATTACTTTATTCAAATTGAACACATCCATTTCACCCTATTCTATCAGTCAACCTTAAGGTACCATAAATAATGAAATGTAATAAATTATACATAAAAAAACAGTCATTGGTGGGTTCTCTTCGGGAATACATAAAATGATATTAAATTAAATAATAGATAAACTAGAATTCTATTGTTTTGTGGTTGCTTTGTCAGCAGCAACCGTTACCTGCTGTGGAACTGCATACGAAGACTGTGTGTAAGTTTGGGCCAGATATGGCCCAGGTCCAACTTGTTCTTGCAACTTCTCTGCCTCTTCGGGTGCTACAGGACACATGCAAGGGACAAGCTGGACGTGTTGCAACGAGACGGGTGTGAGGCTAGCTCCGGCGGGCACGCTTATAGGAATAGGTGCCATGTTCTGATGGATAGGCATTTCTGGTTGAGTATACTGCGGGGGCTGCAGTTGGTACGATTTCCTTGACTCATAAGGTGAGTACATGTATTGGTACCGGTATGGTGGTATGTTAGGTGATATGGGCTGCAGCCATGACTTCTGAGCTTGCTGTTGTCTGCTGTAACAAATATATACCTATTGTATTACCTACAATTATAAATAATGTCAAGTTTTGCTATACGCTGGTTGATTAACTCAGTAGTATACGGGAATAGAAAAACTGAATATAGTAGTTATTCCTATAACTAAATTTGTTTTTAGATTATACTTTGATTCTTGGTGAAAGTGCTTAAGTTTCATGCATTTTGGTTCTACCTGATATTCTTCTTATACATTTATTAGGGTTCGTAAGGTTAGGTAAATAATATACCAGATACAGTCCAAATTGTATCTAAACCATCAATACATAATAAAAGTATCAACAGAATAGTAGATTTGACTCATTATAAGAGTTTGTAATAGACCTACACGAATAAACATATTATAGTGAAATTTTTATACGTCCAATTTGTTAAAATAAGTGACAGTTTCAACTGCCTTATATCACCAATCTCCTAGTGATGATGCCTATATCTATCCATGCTGTAGGTACTTACTAATAAGATATTATTTAGCATTTTCTTGATATAATTTAAGCAACTTCATCAATTCATCACACATATAATAGTATCGGCAGTACAATAACGTTAGGTAACAAAATAATTCGACAGCAGAGTATTATTACAAAGCAAAATTAATCAGTTCGCTGTAGCTATTAATTCGCATGATGTTTAATATATAAAGAAATAATAATAAACTAAATTAATTGAATACTTACGTTGAATCTGATCCCCATTTTAAGAAGAAAGCTTCAGATGATGCTACTAGCAGCAAGCTCATGATAACGCACATCTATAACAAAACAAAATTGTCCATCATAACACAATTTTATTGAATTATTTATTTATGTAATTAGAATGGTTAGAGAATATTTATTATGGCTAATGACGGAATGGTGTAACCGGCTGTAAACCGTATGCGCGGGAAGATTGCAAGCGAAGGATAATAGGATGAACAGGCAGTAATTTTTTTTTTCGGACTACTGTAATGCTTTTTGCCGCAGCTGGCCTTTACAGCTTCACCGGACATTAGGGGGCGAGTGCAGATGGCACTCCAAACCCGCGGAAGGACTTATGGAGCGGCTGAAGGCCAACTCCTGCCTGACGGATACGACTTTAGTCTGAGGGCACCACTAGGGGTTCGAACCTCGGCTCAGGCCGGCGTAATTTCGATCCCTGTTTGAATTGGACGGGGGATCGATCGGAGGGGGAGGCAATCATGTCAGTGAGAATACCGGTAGCGAATTTAATAGGAATTAAAGACTTAGAAGTTATGGTTAATTATTATTAATTTTTATTTCAACGAATATATTGTCATTAGACTGGATATACATATACGTAACATATGAGATGGAGATTGTCCATTAAGATTATCCTAACTTCACCTGGGATGAAGTTACGGTTGGAAGCGTTTTTAATTTACCAAGTACTTTAATTCTACTAAAACTTTTGGTTTTCTGTGATTATTCAATAAATATATTATTTTAATAAACTAATATTAAAACTTTCTAGTTTTATACAGCAGTTTATATAATCCTGACGTCTACTTAATTTTTTGTAAATAATAATAACTATAAGCATAGCGAATACCTAATTGGTCAGTCTAATATAAATAGTTCTGCAATACAATTATGGAATAATAGACATATGAAGAAAGGAACAGAAAGTGAAGAAAATTTATGATAAATTGTATACTCCTTTTATCGTATCATTTAGTAAGTCATAGTTTTTATCACTAGCGTTGTCTAGAATTAGTTCTTACTAATTGGTACATTTTTATGTCATTTTTTAAATCACTTTTAATACATACAAAAGAATCAGTATAAATTTCCAGTTATACACAGGTCGTGTATAAGTATTAACTACTTATACACGACCTGTGTATAAGTAGTTAATAATAATAATATGGAATTTTTTTTCTAAATATATACATATTATATATACATTACACCCACATCGATACAATCATACAAATGTTTGTACCGGGCGAGGAATCCAACCCGCGACCATCAGATAGTGAAGTGGTATGCAATACTACTATACCACCAAGGCTGTCTACGTCAAATAAGTATATATATATATATATATATATATTACATATTTGAAATATAGATAATTGACTTATGCGTGTTATAGACATTTAAAAATACTTATTTTGATAATTGACAGATTTTTACTACACGTCACATTACTAACACTATAAGTTTCTTATTTATTATAGTAGGTATACTAGTCTATCAAGTCGATGGATGTATCGTTACTAAAATACAAACACATCAAATAAAAGTATTCCGTACGTGTATACGTTGTAGCGAATTACGTACATAACCATTATTTGGTTTACAGTAACAGTTACATAGTGCAGGTCCACGTAACGCTGGTATAAATAAAACAAAAAGAGGTAATGGACGTGGTAGAGAGGTAAAAAAAAGAAATATAAAGCGGATACGAAGAAGGAAGTGTCGTAATATGCGCTACATAATTACAAATAATGATTTGAAACTAAATTATTCAATTATGGCTAACTAGCTATTGCGGGCGACTTCTTCTGCTTTTTGTGATATAAAATAGCCTCTGATCTCGATTAAGATACAAAAGTGTCTCTCCTTTAGAGCCATGAGCTCCATTTTAGCATTTATATATGTATACTATTCTGAATGTCTTTGCATATCCGTAATAGTATATATATATGCTTATGTTATATACTTATGTATAGACTTAATATTGTTGCAAACATAATTTCCAGTAACTTCATCTCCAATGAGAAAACATTATTGCCTAGTGGTGGGATTGTAACGGTCATAATTATAACAATATCGCAACAAATTTGTTTCCAGATATTGCTAATTTAAAAAAATTAAATTGTTAACTTGCCAATTTAATTTACAGAGTCATACATATATACGCTAAGTAAATTATGAAAACAAACATTCGCAACAGCAAAACAGAAAAAACACAATATTTCGCAACGAAAGTTATAAAAATTACTAATACATTTGTAGTTATTACCAAGGGAATATTCTTAATGGGATAAATATTGATTATATATACTTATCCCATTAATAGACTTATCTTTGTAATTATAGGAAAATAAATAATAACAATAAATTATCAAATAATATAAGACGAATAGTTTGTGCTCAAGATATTGTATACATTCTGCATATTATTAGTATATTCTGAAAACAGATAATTTGTACTTCGATGCCGTTCTACTTATAGAATTTAAATGTATGTATAATACAGAAAAAAATGCGTATATAAAATTATAATTTACAAAAGTATATTAAATATTAACTCTTCTTCTTATTGTAAACAAATAAAATATTTTTTATAGTTATACTAATTTTGAAAACATCAGTGGTTCAGCAGTTTAGCACGATGGTTGCGGGTACGATTCCTCGCACTGTACAAACATTTATACACAAGAGATACAAAGATTTTCTATGTATATAAAAATATATATATCTAAGTATTTATATCCGTTATCTAGTACCCATAACACAAGCTCTGCTTAGCTTAGGACTAGATGGCGTTATGTGAATTGTCCAGGGATGTTATTATATTTTGTTATATTTACCCAGGTAGATATTGTGCGAAGTCTACATGGACACATCTTACCTTATCTATTTTGGCTGCTAAGCATACGGCTATATACGTGATACGTATCACGACATCACGGCATCATAGGTCGTCGATGCTAACCTCATGTATTGTCATTCTAGAGAACTCAGGACTAGTAAGAACTAATAGTATGTAATACAAGTTACATTCAGGTAGGTCGTCGGCTTTTGTTTGTGTTATTCTAATGCTGTTGGCCGCAGCTGACCACTACAGTTTCACCGAACAATACGATACGAGTGCAGATGGCACACCAAACCCGCAAAGGACTTATTAAGTTGGCCTTCAGCAACTCCTGACGTATACGACTTTACTCTGAGGGCGCAGTTAGAAGTTCGAACCTCTGCTCAGGCCGTAAATTCGATCGATATGGGATCGATCGGAAAGGGAAGTATACCATCGCAGTTAAATAAAATATTTTTCACTTCTTATATTACAACATGTATATTTTAGTTCTACTTAAAAACAAACGTCAAACTTACTAATCAGTTAATAATAACTGTACAAGTAATGAAGTACACAATCCGTTCCAACAAGATTGATGAATGTTCATGTTATTAAGTTACATGTTAAACTCTTAATTGTGCCTCGTAATTACAGTAGAATCCTGGATAAACACAGATGTCAATCATGCCCTCGTTAAAATTTCTCCATAATAACAAGTGGTTAATAGCTACGTTAAATTTAAGTATGTTATTTGAAGTATGAAGGAATGTTATGAATAGGTACCTAATCTCGTCTATTAGATAGATAGATATATGTTGTAAATGTGATATATATAAACTCTAAATCCTATATAAACAAACTCTAAAAAAAATTATTTAGTATTTGTGAAGATGCCAATTAATAAATTGGCATAGGATAATTAAATATAATCAGTAACAATTAAATTACACGCTTAATCTTGCTAAAATATATAAATAATATATATATATATACACAATAAGCAGTATTTTGCCTAAAATAGGTACCTAGTAGTTGTTTAGTAGTGCAGTAGTATCATGTAATTAGATTTAAAAAATGTATTTGATTGATTTGATTATGAAGTAAAAAATACAATATAAATATAAAAGTGGCCTCGATGGTAACGCTTAGGACACTGCCATACTTCTGAAGGCTGCAGGTTCAATTTCTTGAACGATACAAGCTATCGTATTCATGAGTATAATTGTTTGTATCGGTCTAAATTTTCTATGTATATTATATATGTATGTACATAAAAATGTAACTATGTATTTATATCAGTTGTCTTGTTTATTAACATAAGCCCTGCTTATCTTGGGACGAGAGGAGTTTTAATTGTTCTGATATATTATTATTGTTATATTTATATGAAAAATATTTTTATTTATAATTATGAGTTTTTCTAATTTGCCTGTTTTGTAAGGGATCTATTAACATAATTTTAGTATCCATTGTCTTTAAACTTCATCATAATACGCAATGAAAATATAGTAGAATAGAAATATAGCAGTAATAGCTAAAATAAAGTAGGTAAGAATTTTTTCTTAAGTGATATGGGAGCATAAAAATAGTTCACAATATCTACAAATTAGATATTTAGTGTTATATTATTGTTGCAATATATTGTGATCACACATAACCATAAAAATCCTAATTATTTTACTACCTACATCTGTCTTTTAAAATTATTTAGGGTTCGAAAAATATCACTGACAAGTTTAAAAAAATGGCTTTGATGACAGCCCGCATGTCTATAGTCTTTGGATATGCATTTTTAGGGAATGCACTTTGGGATCCATGAAATCCTATTTTAATTCGCCAGAACACATTATAAAGTGATTTGTGTCAGTGCGTAGATAATCGTTAATGGAGCATGCTGGTCTCGAACCCATAAAATGTCCCATTTATTCCATCATGTACTCATTCCGAGTCCCAGGGCAGTGACCCCTGATGCATTTCTTTAAATTTATTTAGACAAATATATTCTAGTTTATTCTACTAGTAAATGAAGAAACACTAAAATAAACTAATATTTTTTACTTAAGTGTCACAATAATATGCAAAGAATTCATAATACAAACAAATTCCATATTTATATTTGTCATCGTCAAAAAAAATTAATACTTAATGATTTTTCAATAAATTAACATAATTAAAAAAATATGCAATAAGTTTGAGAATATAAACGAATATTTAATTATTTATTAAATATTTATTAATTATTTAAAGTAACACAACTATTATTGTTTATAATCTAATTACACAGCCATAAGTGTAGATGTCAATATCTTTAAATATATTACACATCAATAACTGAGTGGTTGCGATATTGCCTCTGCGCATTTATACTATGCATCAGAGACCTAGGATCCATAGTTGGACGGGATAGCACTACTATGAACTGAACAATAACACAATAGAAGTTAAATCAGGAACAGGTCGGTACTTATTTTATATTATTGCAATAATTTTGATTACCAAATCTATTTTACTTCTTGAATAAGTAATAACTCGTCCACTATTAATTTCTAATTATACTCTACATAACGTGCATGGACCTGTTTTAAATTCAATAAATTAAATCACGTCTTTCCCAATAAATAGTATTGTACAAATATCTAATTAGAGTCTCTTTCAATCAATGTTTTGACACGAGGTGTTAACATAATAACACTATCAAATATGATAATAAAGTGAGAGACAGCGTGACTTGCACCGTATTTCTCATCAGCTCTCCATTGATGCTCCGTGATGCCGCTATTTGTATTGAAAAATTATCCAACAAAAGATAAATCATTAGGCACGAGCAATATAATCGTTTTAATTGATTAGGTTATTGCTTACAACGTTTATTGGCCGATTTTCGTTATTGGATTCGTTATGCAAGAAAACTTACAAATAATTATTTATATTCTTATTTTTTCAAATGTAGGTATGCGTATATTTAAATTTTAATAAGTGTAAATGATTATATTATATTCAGAAAATTATATTATTTGACAATTAAATTAAGAAAACATTGTTGTTTTATTACGCTGTAAATTAGATACATATGATTTCGCAACACTTACCGCGCCAGTGTTATCCGGAAACATCGCACTAAGTGGAGTAAACTGAACTAAGTATAAACAGTCAACGTTCACCCCTGCCGAGAACTGGCTCAGTACTACCTACTGACCGTTGGAGAATTAAGGATTGGACCTTTACACAAAAAAGACTCGGTATTTGGGAACGAAGATGCGTGCACCCACTCCGGCCGCGGAATGACCGATCCCTGGAGAACACTTGTTTTTTATACACGATTTCAGTAACATTCCGTCCTTAAAAGCCGGTCTCCGACCCCAACACTAACACAGGGTATAATAATAATCTTATTAACTTATCTACACTTCTATCTTTACTTAGAACATACCGTTATATTAGCCCAATTTTAAAAGGGAGTTACGTAGAGACAGACCACTTAAGTTAATTTCACACTTTTTCTTGGGGCGGCTTAAGTGTTTTGACATGGGCTTTTTTTGAAGGTGTATCGGTTTGAACGATTGGCTGGCGCTCACGGTCTGATGCACCGGTAATAGGAGGGCAAGGATGCGGCTGACACTCGTATCGGATTACCAGGACGTGTCCATTACCTGCCAGGCGCGGACGCTCTACCATCGTCCATGACTTGTCATGTTTCACGATGCGTGAAAATTTAAAGAGGCGGATGATCAGTGTCTAATATTAAAGCCAATGAACTTATTTTTTAAAGATTGAACAACCAATAATGATTATGTAAGGAAGTATCCTTACGATTAACATCTTTAAAATAGTAGTCAGACATTGTTATCAATTGCCACAGAGATGCAAATAATTACGGTTCACTGCACTTTCACTCACCAGAGGGTATCTAGGATATAGTATCAAGCTGGCCACATCGTTTTGTATAGTTTATAATGTAAATGTTTTGGTATAGTTTATAAAAAAGTTTTTATGTAAAGCCTCTATGGGACTATTGTGAAGATATTTGTGTTCCTATTGCGAGTGAACATAATAGTTGACATTTCACCAAGATTATTGGATTCAAACAAGCATTCCACAGTACTGCTCTGGGAGTCTGTTCTGAATATCGATTCAAATTGAGAATGAACTCCTAGAATTTTGTATCTGTTATTATGAAACGTAATCCAGATTAAACTGAATATATCATAATAATGTAAGTTCTTTCATTGACCACAAAAAGTAACTTTATTACGTTGATTGTGTATAATTCATAAGTATAAAAAGACGCGAAACAGCGTAATCCAATGTTATTGAATCGCATTAGTTAATTGGCCAATATAGACCGACTGATCTAAGTTTTTTAACAATGTTTCCGTTATCTTCCTGACTAGAGAACTAAAACATAAAGTTTATGGACTTTTACGACATTCACAATTAAGTAAATAATAATAATTTATTATTATTCCAACATAAGTTAATAAAGAAACTCCTTATAACTCTTTTTTATGAGTTCTATACAAAAAGGGGCGTTTTCTTTAAATCAGCCTATGGGAAGTAGCTTTAAAACTATTCAAAAGTACACAAAGAAAGTTTAATTTTAATTCAATTATAGGATAAAGGCGCACGAACCCGTAGCGTTATTAAATGGCAATTTGCAACTTTCCATCCGGTGGACCGTCAGCTTAATGGGCATTTCGATGACAAAATAAAGATTATAACTATTCAAAATAATATTCAAAAATGAAATTGTGAACGACATTTCTTTAAAAGAGCAAAACGGATGATTCTTGCTCGCTCTTCTTGTGATGAGTATGCGATCCGAATAAGTGGTAGATTAAAAAAAATTCTTATGTTGTCTATTTAATAATTTGAATAAATTACTTCTATTCTATTAGAACTAAGTAATAACTTAAGCGAAAAATTTAATTAAGTGTCGCAAAATGGAAAATACTGACAACAAAACAATGACATTGTGCGCTACGCTTCGGCAGACAATTGGAAGTGGGAAAGTAGGGGGGACAATCATAACTACCTTGCTGTAATAGTCTGTGGTGTAGCAATTTAACATACTGTCTCACCTTCCAATGATTACGAGTTCAATCTAAGTCTGGTACATGTAACGACTTTGACGGTCTCTGTAGTCTAGTTGTTTAGCAAATCACCTTACTTCCGGTGGGCGGGTTTGATTCCTTGCACATGACCTTTTGGCACAAACATTTATATTTATGAGAGTGATTGTTTGTTATGGGTGCTAATAATGTGCTCGTTACTGCCGCATAAAAAAATATAGTATTTATTTATTGCATCTTAAATCATACACCAACTCTGTTCTATGTAACAGACCATCATTATAACAGAAGTAGATAAATGTAAAAAAAAACAAGTTTATACTAACACAATTTTTACTGTTTCTCTGACAAATCTGATATGAGATTAACTTATTCATCGTCGAAATTGAATCTCCTCTTACCATCAAACCGGAAGCCATACGCCGCAGAATTCTTTACGTCAACTAGCGCCGGATTGCGGTGTTTATAGAAACTACCATGCCCATGCGCAGGCCGGGACGAACCGTTCGGTACGCCGTGCGCTACATTGGGATAAAAAGCTTCAAACTTCCCACTAGATGGCAGCACCATCTTTAGTAATTCGTCTTGCGGGTCATAGGGAAACGTCACAGATGGCGCCACTACCGCACACAAGCATAACACGCGGAACAACATCCCCATCTGTAAATACAACACACTTTCAACGCACTATTAACACATATTTGAAACAATAAACGCAAATATATAATCTAGATTAGAAATAAAATTCACCTTATGCACTTTTCGAGAAGTCGAAATATCACAGTGGTTACGCAACGATGGAGGTTGGGCCACAATAAATATGAAACTGGTATGGATGGTGGTAATACTGGTGGCCTCCGACAATCACCTTGACGGTGCTAGAAGCCGACAAATCTCACGGGCACTGTGTCGCGCGTGTGCCACGCCACAAAACTTTCCCTGCACGCGTTAGCAAATACTTCGTTGCATTAGTTACTTACGCAAACATTATTGTTATACCCCTGCCTTATATTACTCGTTCCTTCACTAAACTACAAGTACCAATCCTTACAAAAGAAAATGAAACAAAATTAATAGGTAGTGATTTCAAATTTATATGGCAATAATAATTAAGTGACGATCCTCAGGAATGAGGAACACAATTTGAGTAGGGCGACGATTCTAGAAAACTGCAAAATAGATTAAAAACTAGGACAAAAAAATTTCGTTGCTATTTAGGTTTCTAGCAATTTATTAACGTTTATGTATAATGCTATTTTTAAATTTATTACAGTTATGTACAAATTTAATTATACATTTTGCATATTATGAATTCTCAGGGCAATTCCCACAAATACCTACTTGTAGCGAAACCTATGAAGGAGGGTTGTTATACTATTTTTAAATTTTATAATAATATTCTTTATTGTTACTTTCTATTATATATCGCTGTCATACTAGTCGCATTTTATTTTAATCTCCGTATTTTCCTCATTAAAACCCTCAGCACCTCTCACTCATCAGACACATTTGATACCTCAGCTTCACTACTCTTAATAAGTTCAAGAAGCAGCTTTAATCGTATTAGACACTTATAAACGTCCCTGACTATTTACTACAATACCACAGACCCTAACCAAGTATTCAATATTACAGCAATATTTACATATATATAAAGACTAAATCAGTAATTCCCAAAGAGAATAAACTGAATATTGAACAACAACTACTCAACAACTATACTCATCACTAATACATAGAGTTATTCGTCGGTGTTTTTAAAAGAACTTCAGAGTTATAATTTTTGAAGTATAGGCGGGCTACGTGCAGTTTAGGAAAACAAGTTTGTGCGAACTTTAGGATGCACTGGTTCGAATCTATACATCTATACATATAAATAAAATTAGAGTGTCTATTTGTAATACTGAAATAACCATTTTGTACTACATGCATATCAATATAAATACGGTACATACACCAAAATGACATTTTTTATCATTTTTGTCTGCCTGTCGATCGGTGTGTTTGTTCCGGCTAATCTCTAAAATGGCTGGAGCGATTTTGACGGGACTTTTTTTGCCAGGTAGTTGATGTAATAAGGAGTAACTTAGGCTACTTTTATTTTATAAAAATAAAGTTCGCGGACGAAGTCGCGGAAACAGCAAGTTGTAAATAAGAATTGCGATATCTCTTTCACTTTATTTATTATAATTAAAGTGCAGTTATACAAAAATATTTGACAATAGATCATATTATATATCCAAGAAAATAAATAATTGTCGCTTGCGTGGTAAGATACTGTTTTTTGCATTTTAATTTACAATCACTGGTTTTACAAATACCCAGATTATTACAAGCGGCATGAGCGAAAATATATTGAATATACATATATCTATTAGGCCTAATATGAATCCAAAAATATTATATATCGACATACAATACATCGTTACACAAAAAGAGACAATCAAAAAACAAAACCTAATATATAATATCATTTTGTTATATACACAAACCCGTAGTCATTTTAATATATCTACAAGTATTCTAACGAGTGAAGGCAATTTCTAATGGGCAATATTGGCCTTATTAGCCCAAGCTGGTACCCCTAAATGGGAACCGTCGTTGTTTTTTAATGGATGATGATAGAATGGGAGGGTCTGCTAATGGTATATAGTGGATCACCAGTAAAAAATAATATTACGATGAAGTCAGTCGGATTAATAAGCTTATTATTCCAAATTCACCAAAATATCACGAGGAACTGCGTAGTGGACAGCTTGATATGGTACTTGGTCCCGCCCCCCAGATATTGTGATTCTCATATATTGGTGAAATTAGGCTAATAGAAAAAAAGAGGGGAAGGAGAAGACCTATCAAGCAGTTAAAGAAAAAGTTACGAGTCGTATCGTATCAACATTTAATGGGAAATGACAAGAGCTGCACCGACAAGGTAGCTGCTATTAAATTATGAAGAAGGATGAGTAACATAAGTAAATTTTGTCCAAATCTTTTCATCCCTCACAGGTGGAGCCAACACATACCATTAGCAAAGACCTGAACACTATCACGATCATCTATGAAAAAAGCGTCCATGAACAAACGATAATAATTTGATTAATATTTTCACTAAACATGAGCTTGTTTTAATCAATAGATTAAGCAAGCTGCATTTAACAGAATTTAAACTTTATAAGCATTACTAAGAGCATAATAAATCTCACACTTTCAACCTTTGCTGGTTAAAAATAGCAAGACTTATAATATTAAAATATATTAATAACATTAGAAAATAGTCTATTAAATATTAACCAACATGTAGCGTAATTACTATATATTGTATACTAATATTGTACATTTATACACTTCCTACCTCGAAACACTCGGCGTGAAGATAGCTATTATTTGAACTATATAGTTTGAACACTATTAAGTATGTCTAATTGTTTTAATAGATATAATATTACAATATCAATTTACTAATGATCGATAATAGAGATGTAAGTAGAAATAAATAGGCACTTAACTTACAAGTACAGTCGGCTACATAAATATATTAAGTGACAAGGATAACATAATTAAATAAAACTGGATACACACCAAGCACTTTCTAGTCCCAAATAAGCATGGCTTATATTATAAATACTAGACACCTGAGAGTCATACTTAAATTAATTTTATAAATAAATAATTTAGATTTAAGAGTTAACAGACTGATACAAAAAGTTATAGTCAGCAACTTAATAGTAAAAATATACAGAAAGTTTGTTAAACAGATCGACAGTCGCGAGTTTAATCCCAATGTTACAATCAGTTTAATGCATTACTCTGGGTGTTACCTAAATGAATGTAAGTATGAAATTTTATATTACTCATAGCACAAGTTCTGCTTAATTTCGAACTAGATGGCACTGTAAGATGTATCCATGAGTGTTTATTTACTATTACCCATGTCTAAAAATACAGCGAAGCGTAAAATGTTTCTAGTATGAGAGGCACTATACGACGTATAAATTTGATGTTACTATTTTCCATAACAACTTCCATAAATTTGTTTAATATTATTACTCTTTTTATACTAGCAATTGTACTGTTTATATTTTATACATTTTGATTAAACGTGGTATGGCGAGCAACTTATATTTAAATAAATAGATGCTATAACAATTTCAATACTTATTCAACATATATTAACATATTAATATATTAATGACTACGGGTTACAGTTTTTCAACTACTCACAAAGACAAAGATCTAAATAAACGTGGTATAGGGTAAATTGTCATGAAAACACGTAGATTACACTAATTTTGTATATATATAATTTTCAATGTGATTAAAAATATATATATTTCCTCTATTTAACAGGCTGACTATGAAACATTGTCATTATTGTACATAAGATTAATAAAGTGCACTACATATGTACATCCACGTTCATTATGATAGTTGTCCATTCTTTAGATATATTGAAAATTGTGTAGAGAAACCGTGAGTGCTTCATCAATATTCACAGTCACACTGTGTCAGAACGAACATTGGAATGCATATATCGCATGCTTAACTACAAACAGCATAACCAAAGAAATATACATTGGAATATCGAATTTAAAATTTAAGATTAAAAATCGATTTTACTAAATATACTTTCAGATAATACGGTTTGTATTAAGCATGTGAATTATTATATAAAATCAACAGATGCCGCTACAATATCACAAACCCCAAGCTTTAAATTCAAACACATGAAAGATGTTCACACTATTTATCGAGACAGAGGACCGATTTAGTAACACTGTTGCAATCGTTCCTTAAATTGAATTCCGTGGATTTGACAATATCAGTTGCAAATATCACTATATATAGATTGTTTGTTACGTATTGGCTACATATTTTTGTATACATTATATATTTATTTACTATTAAGAATAATATTTTTATTCACTAAACATTAGACTAATAACGATTTTGTAAAACTTTGACTTTCATTCGAATAAGAAACCATTGATAAATCGACATTAGATCATATCAATAACCAGTTACAATTCCTTAATGATGTAATAAAGCCGTGTATTTATTATTTAATAGAAATTTAAATTTAAAATTTTGATATTATGTAAGAATAAATGGACAATTATTTGACAGTTACCAATATGAATACAGTTGTCTAATGAAATCAATTGCAACAGGCTTACATAACAAAACCCCTGTCATAATACCATTCGCAATACATATTCGTAATTAAGCTAGGCAGAAAACTTTGGTGTGTTAACAAAAAACCAAACTGCTAACTATAGTAGTGGATATAATGAAGCCACCAACGCATCAATTTCTTCTTTACACCTATTATATAAATGTACATGTAAAATGGACTCTTTGTCACTCGGCCTCACATTTCGGGCGTATTCGTAGAGCCGACACACTTTACATATGCATTACTTGTACATTTCAAATAGTACATTCACTTATACCTATGTCAAAAGCAATTAAAACTAAATAAATTAAAAAGTAATAACGCAAAATTATATAACTCGTTTAATAACAGTAACCACCAAATGATCTTTCCGGTTTTTATATTGTCACTGGGGTCGATTCTGCGCTATCCATAGACCATCCGTATGCTATATAATTAGTGTTGTGATGACTGTACTAGAAGTAGAAATAGGAAGTATCAGAACTGGTATCTCCATATTGATATGGTTGGAGACCTAGTTGTAGTATAACTTTATAAGTTAGTAACGCCATCTTGTGACTAAATGCGCATTACGTACGTATTCCACGACTTGTATCACAAACAGGATAGTCAATGGCAGCGATGCGCGGTAGAGATTGATTAATTTGGTATGTTGCTACTTAACAGGAGAGAAATATGAAGACATACATGTTTGGTGTTTCCAAAATTGAAAGAAATTCGGCGTTCAAAAATCTAAGTCAGATAGCAATCTATAATCACATGATTTTTAATACATATATGTATATAGAAGTATATCAATTTGAATGTAAACTATGCGTGTCACTATCCCAATTTACTGGATGTTACAAAAAGAAATTCATTTATACCATCTGTAGTGCTGTTTTTGTCAACCCTCTAACCATATTTCGACATAAATTTATCTAGGAACTGCGAATCGAAATTTAGTGAGAGTTAATTAGGTGCTACAGTGCCATACCAAATTCAGGGTCGAAAATTTACACGCATTTTAAGAATTTGTACCATCACTATCTTCATATGGTTGCTATTATATCCTAACGAAAAGTTACAAACGCCAAGGTTTAATAAACGGCCGCATCCATTTCAAATTAAGTATATAAACATTTCAAAATCGACCCCAATGTTATTTGTTTTATAAAAAAAATATTTGGAAGATCAAATATGACAATAAAATAATCACAACACAATAATGCGTAGCATTTCTTTGTCAAAATGGTGGATAGACTTACTAAGACGATCTTTTTAAATCACATAACGTGAGATCCTTACACCATGTCATTGGTCCTAAATTTTGACCTTAGATAACGCACCTAGTCATAATTTCACAGTAATATACATAATTTAATAAGCTAATTCATAGAATATTAATACCCGTTTGTACTAAACTTATATGCCTTCTAAACTAGCATTATTCTATCTTATTCATAAACAATGTCTAATAAACATATTTTAAACATTTGCAGTGTTTTATCCCTTTCTGTTAATCCATTTCTTATATCTGTAAGAAAGAAACAAAAAAATGACAAATTAAAAAGAAATGTTCGTTAGTAGGTTTTTTTACAATATTTAAGTCTTTTAAAAAAGTCAATACGCATACGAAAAATTCCATATCATTCCTAAACATGAAAATTCAACCTTTCTTTAGTTACCGTTGCTTAAGCTTAGGTATCTCTTTATTTAGTCGCCTTGATTAAGTTTAGTACAAACAGGTGTTAGCTTCAAAGTCTTAATACTAAAAAATTACTATAGTAATGATTTCAACCGCCATCGTACAAGAAATCCTTAAATCGTTATATCAATCAATAATATACCTACTCGTAATTGTTCATTAAACGTTACCAGTAATATTCCCGATATATCTATACCATACACATTACAATTCCAAAAACAAGTTGCAACAACATTTCAGTTTGAACCCATTCCTTGTAGAATATACTAAGAAAATACATTGCGATATCAACAATGAATAAACCCCTTATTTCTAAAAACATCAAACGATTAATAAACCTATTTTAACCATTGACCTGTTCTGTCCCATTCTCTCAAGGCATCCAATTCATTTAAAAGAAAGTGACAAAACATTTCAATAGTTTGTGAATGGGGTGACATGTTTGATTTTACAATTTCTTTGTAATTTACTATAAATAATACACATGGTATACAAGTGTCTAGTACATATAGTTGCACGAAATGTTCCAGAATTATCTTTAAGTAGATCTACGGTATTATCCTAATATAGATAACATAACATTTAAATATATATTATGTAACGCTGAAAACAGTAATACAGTAATCGACCTTAGCATGTCGTGACAAATACTAGAATTGAATGAACCACACAGTTTAACATTTCTTGATTTGTTAAATACATTTCACGTTACCGCGACTAAGAATGTAAGATATACATAATAAGTAACATCTATTCAAAACTCTAGTTACTAAGGTAAATATTGATTTATATATTGAATTTTCACTACGTTTATCACTTGTATCAACATGAAATAGATTATAACAAGCTGTTGAATAACCCTATTGATTTCAATACAAGATCAATTATAGACACGTATTATTCATAGTCACGACATATACGAAGGAAAACTACATGTGAAGCATATACGACACATATCTGTATGTATGATGTACACCATATATTTTCTGCATTATTTTATATCAGATATCACTCACTCTAATTTGGGTAACATAATAGAATAAATTAAGTAGTAATGCCATTCGAATCACATCATCTTTTCCTTCCCATGTTCTGTTGCCATTGGAGCGTTTTTTTATTAGATTGTAATGACAAGCAAACAAGCTGACGGCCACGTGATAGTAAAAGGTAACGGTGTCATTGTTGCCGTTCCCGCGTGAGTTACAAATAAAGAGATAATATATTTTGACTATGTATATAATTAGAAAACATAATTTTAACCATTTATGTATATAACTATAACAAATCAGGAGTGTCCCAAAATACGGACACTTTTGAAATTATTTTTATAAATGCTGCTAGGAACAATATACGTATAACTCCATCATTTCAGAGAATAATATATAAAATGTGCAACTAATAAAAAGTGAACAATTTTAAACTTTTTGTAGATGGTATTAAGAGTAAAATTTGCACTAAATGTTATGTCATATTTAAATGAATAATGTGCAAATTATATAAAAATGTCCATTACTTGGAAAAACATTAGGACGGTATAAAAATAGTCATTTATGCTTAATTGTTACCAATAGTCTAGGAGCTTTGCACCTTTGAGTTGTAATGTAATCGTCTAGTCAACTTTTTATTTCTATTCTGTGGTTTATATAATAATTTCAGTTCAGTAAAGTTATGATCGAAAAAAATTAAATATCCTTTCCTAAAATTATTTCATATTGAAGAGAGGTCGGAAGAAGGAAAGAAGAAAAAATAACGAATACTATATCCAGGCGCTACTCATAACAATTTCTGATTTTCCTAAGAACCTTTACATTAACAGAAGAGAAGGCTACATAGCTTAGAATGTATCACATCGCGAGTAACAAATCGAAACTGACAATCTATTATTAGTTTTGTTCAAAATACGACATCAAGCCCAAGTAATGGATTCATAAACAAAATTATTTTCTTAAAATTTGATAGTTGTATAACAAAATATTTAGTAAATATAATTTCATATATATTTATCATTTACATAAAAAGTAAAAGGCATTTATTTGTATAGGATATTTTAGCCATATATGCATGTCAGTCGTTTTAGTGTTTAACCGTACCTAAGTTCAGTTGCTTACTTAAAAAGCTTACCATAGAATTTACGATAGTTTTGATTTATTTTGTAACAACAAAACAACAAAAAAATTTTGAATTAAATATAAATTCAGTTTTTTACATAAGCAGCTTTCCATAGAATTTACGATAGTTTTGATTTATTTCAACAGAAATATTGTAATACAAGCAATGTATTGTTATTTTTTAATGTTGCGTCAAATGTTGTTGATATGTAAAGTTACGTTTTGCATTTGATGTTGCCATTATTCTAAAAAATATATTATTGAGCAATAAATATATATACATTATGTATATCGCCGTAGACAAGGATAAAACTGAGCGTTTTTTTATTTCATGATTGATTATATATGAATATAATACGGATGAATGATGTAGACATGTCAGGTAATATTATCTCTTCCGTTACTGAAAATATTACAAATGTTTCATATTACTTAACTTAGAGATAATATTTGAGAATAACATATTCAATGCAAAGCAAGGTAAGACGTGAAGAGATAACACGACGTACAGGTTAGGATTATAATTATAATCATTATTTTTATTAATATCTGTACTTATTAAGTCTGAAAAATAAATGTAAGCAAATCTACGTATAAAACAACAATATGTCAAAAGAGTTGTTAATAAAAAACGTAATTTTATATTGACTATCAAAACAGCAGCACTTAATGCGTGACTGAGTAGAATTATAACAGTACGCGGCGTCCCCTCTTAACATCTTTCTTGCTTTGAAACATTGAATAAAAATAACAATATTTGTGATCATAATTTGTAACAATTAAAGTACTAAATGCAAATGTTTCGTTTCGTATATCATCGCTTTACCGTCATCAGTCAAACATAGCCGACTTTGAGTCATCAAATATCAAATTATATCTTAACAGGTAGAAACTAAATAGAACGCATAACCGAAATTAATAAATAATATTGCTTAATCCGTGAAACCAGGCCCAATCACACATAACACGCAATGTTTATCCACCAAGACCCTTGGTCTTAGTTATGTAAAATCGTTGCTAGTAATTTTCATTTAAAAGATTTAAACGTACAGTTTCGCAATTGTGAAGAAACCATTTTGCAGTTGAGCCGCTATATGTGCTCTATATTGTGGAGATTCGCTTCGAAGATATAGAAATAGCTTAAGTTCCGCAAATTCACGGTTATATGAACCGTAAACCGCAATTAAATGTATATAGAACTTCGTAAGTACGTAAATAACATTTCTTTTAATCGATAGCATAATTTTCTTTTACACGGACGAAGTAAGTTATAATTTTATAGTTAAAAATGTGTACAAAAATAGCTTTTCTTTATTTAACCAACTAACAACTACCGGCGTTGTTCAGCACGGGCGTACAGTGTGTGCGAGTGATCGTATTATATAGATATGAATACTGAAAACTGTACTAAGGTCTACACTATGGTTTAGAAGCAGAATAACAAAGACTGTGTTCATTTCTAAAATATTATAAGAATTACGCAAATAATTTGCTAAACGAATCTCCACTATACTCAGTAACTGTAACATTGAAATGGTTTATTGTTCAATTATCACAAATCCTCCTGCTCTTCTATAATGTCTAGCAACGATTTCACATAATATGGCCTGGCGTTAAACACTGTATAAGTAGCTTTCAACCTTCGTCTTCGGCGATGGCTGAGTGAAAGGAGACAGCCAAAGAATGGAGAAACGTCCGAACACTGATTGTATGCTCTTCCATCGAGACTTGCGGACCCAACGCGCCTGTTCCTTCTTCAATTGCTCAATGCCCTGCAATGAGAGCAATAGTTAATTATTACGGGGAAAGACCAATGGAGTATTTGGATCCAAATATATATAACAACTTAAATGCGATACAACAAATATCAAATTTGAGCTAGTACTTAAGTAGTAAGTAATGTTAAAAAATAAATATTAAGTAAATTATTGAATGTCTATATGAAATTGTTAAATGTCTTTGTAAATGTGTATGTATATGTATGTAGGTAGGTCAGTATTAGTATTAAGAAATATGAGCCATATCTTGCCAACAATCTGCAGTTGGGCGAGTAATTGAATAAAAACAGTAAATATACCTATTTTTATTATTAAATATATAAATAAAAAAGTGATAGTAATCTATATTCTATTTAATTTTATTTGTTTCACAGTTTTATTTTCAATTAATTAATGCGTATATTGGAATTTACAAATTCTTCTCTACAAAGAATCTGCTGTGACTTGATATAGCGGAAGTTTTTATAAGACGTACTGTCGAATGCCAAAAAATATAAGAAATAATCAGAAGTATTGTCAACTGTCGATGACTACCGTATACGTGTTCATTTACCATTTACATAGACGAAAATATAGATAATATGGGATACATAGATAAATTTTTAATTCACCAATTTCAGAGAGATATACATAAGGTACAGAAAAAATAAATGGAATTGAGGTGGCCGTATGTGCCGCAAAGGTGAATAGTCTATCAACTCAGCATGAAGCTACAGATAAATCTGCAGCGCTGATATACTGTTGGCTCCTGTATTTACACTACTATACATATACAAACCGTTTCATCATTCCATATAGCTTGCAGCTGTGTGCCGAGCATGACGGCGGTGAAAACAGCGAAGAGTAAACCCTCTGCGACCAGGAAGAGTATCAGAACGACCGTAGCTGGTGGAGAATAGGTGCTGCAGTCTCGCCACTCATGACGGATGCACGTCACAAACTGGTACACGGAGAGTGTGAGCGAGTGGATCGATATAGCCGCTATGTAGAACTGAAAAAAAAACCAAACTCATACGTAAAAAAAATATGTTAGATCTACAATGACGGTCTAGCAGTTTAACATACTGCTTTACTGTCAAATGGTCGTTGGTTTGATATTTGGCAAGGTACTAACATTTGCATTCATAAGTATATTTGTAATCGGTCTGGGTGTTTTCTATGTATATTATGTATGAATTTACAAAAAAATATGTATCTATGTTTTTATATCAATTCTACAGTACCCATGATACAAGCTCTGTTTAGTTTGGGACCTAGGTGTGACGTGGCAGGCACAGAATAGCACCGCCGCGACATTTAGCTGTCACGGCAAATGCTGAGTATCGGCCATGTTGCCAACCATGTAAATAAATATTATAGATGTTTGTTGTAATTACATATATATGTGTGTGTGTGTATGTATATGTATATCAATAAAGGATGTCAGATGTCGCTGTGATACATACGTGACACCGTGGTAGCCCAAGCATGACTTCATTTTATCATATGATGCCCGTGGTACCGCTCTTGCGTTCCTATTCCCGAGGAGAAAGATATAATGCCTCTACTCCTGTAATTTCACTGCCTTAGCCTTCCGTCATTCATATTATTTTATGATATTACATCACGACACGAACTCCTTTGGATTTCATGGTATCACCGTGCTTTAACAGTGTCTATCGTGTGGCAGTGAGTAAAACTCCGAGCAGTTCTTTGTGATACGGATGTAGATATAAGACGCTGGTGTTTCTCTCCCTTGCCTAGACAAATCTGCTAGTGTCGCTATGCTACCTAGTCTGCAGTCGTACAACATAACGCTACAATCAATAGGAGCAGAGTATCAATTAAGGTTGCAAATGTTGCAGAAACAGAGTTTCTGTACCCCACACTGGATACTCTCTCTCTATCTGTGTGCTACGTAAACATAATTGGGCGAATCAACTAGTATTGTCTGAAGACCGATTAGACCGTTACATATGTATTCTACTTAATATACTAAATTAACAATAAAATTATCTATCTAGGTATATTGATAATTAGATCGCCGATTTTGAATATCAGATAGTAAATAATTATCAGTACCTAGTTACGCTATTGCCCAATTAGGCACCGATAACAAACCAATTACAAAGTACTGAGACATGGTATCTGTGCTCAGACTTGCCAGGCGATATTGCAGATCAGTGACAGATATATATGAGGAGCAATCCAACGGGCAGTTCAATGTATATCATAATCTGCGCCAAATATCATTATCATGTAGGTCTATTACAGACATTTTTGATAAGAAAATCTACGGTAGATTTGTAATTAGACTGTTGACTCGTTCCAATGTAGATCTTATTGTGATTACATTTTTTCTTTTCATTTCATACAATTGTGACAAATAAACAAACGGCCTGTCTGATGGTAAAGGGTTATCGTAGTGTATGGACGCATCCGAAACCTTAATATACCCTGCTTAATGCATGTACGTAGAGAAAACCTAAGCAGGTTGTTGAGTCTACAAAATCTATCTAGTGTATGCGGGAAGAAACTCCGCACTGTCTGAAACCACTTAGGTTCCAGGGTATGGGGTTCAATTCCCTGTCGATGGAGACCTACATTTTTTTTTCTTTTTTTGCTTTTTTCTGTGCCTATCCTGCAATCAGTCGGAGACTATGAACAGATGTGGTGTAGGTGCTACGTCGCGGGTAGAGAGTGATTCCCAGCAGAATCATCGTCTCTTTTGGTGGTCCTGGTTAATCATCGGGTTCCAGTAGCCTACGCCTTTTAAGCCGACGCATGTTGTCAGGGACTATCAGTTGGTTGGCCAGCGCATTAGGATGGTTTACTAGCCGTGTCTTGTACTTGGAGTAGTGGTGTTTTCTCTCTTCGGCTACTGTGTTTGTGTGGACATACTCATGAACCTCAGATATTTTTGCAAACCATGGCGCATTTATAAGCTGTTTCAGGATGTTATTTTGTGCCCTTTGTATTATGCTTATGTTTGAATTTGCAGCAGAACCCCACAATTGGATGCCATAGGTCCAAATGGGTTTCAATACAGAGTTGTAGAGAAGCTTGTTGTCAAGGGATAATTTTGAATTTCTGCCTAGCAACCAATACAACCCTTTGTATTTTATGTTTATTTGGACTCTTTTTACTTGAATGTGCTTTCTCCAGGCCATACGGCGGTCCAGGTGAATAGATAGAGAACAAGGAAATAATAGAGACCTACATGATAAAAAGTAGCTGTTACTTACCGTGAACAAGACAAAATATTTTTGATTGTTTTCACCGACGCAATTGTTCACCCAAGGGCAGTGATGGTCCATTTTTCTGATGCACCGTTGGCACACCGAGCAGTGATGGGCTCGTTCCGGCTTGATGCTGCAGCACTTGGTGCACTTGAATATGACTTGACCCTCGCGGAAGCTCATTTGCCTGATCATTTCTTTAGTGGCATTACCTTTTGGGACTGCACCCTGTAAAATTAACAATAATAATTGCACATACATAAAGGACAGTAAGTATAAATCAATGAAAAAAATGTTTTACAGAAAGCGACTTTATCGCTATTAATTATTATATTTCTTTACTAGAAACGCTCATAATACAGTGCAACCACGATATACCAAATCGGAAGGGAACAAGTAAACAGTCGATATATAAAGTAATCTATAAACAAGTTAATTCCTTGAACTGAGCTTTGTTATGGACAATTCAAGGGGATTACGAAGAATTTGTTAAATCGAGGAAGTCGTTATTTTGAGGTACGTTATAATAGGTTTACTGTACTGTACAAAGTTGTAAATAGTATTTCTTCTGTTTTGACAATATTTATTCTTGTACGTTCTCAGTAGTCCAAAAGTTTATCTTATCACCTTATTCATAAGAGGTCAATTAACTATATACTCTATAAGACCCTAATAGTATACTGCTGGATTCTAGCACATTAAAAACATTCAAATAAAAAAAAATCAATACACTACTGGGAGGCGAGTTGTGAACTCCTAGGAGTTCGCAGATCGCCTCAAGCCCCAATAATTGTAATCACCCTTTGAATGAAACAGGGGCGAGGAGTGAGGGGGAGGAAACTAGGCCTCCTAGATTGCTATATGTATAAAAAATGATCACCCATGAACTAAAAATAACCATTAATCAACCATATTGTCGATATATTGACGTCCTTGGTGGTCTAGCGGTTTAGTACACAGCTTTACTTTCAATGATCGCGGGTTCCTCACACGGTGCATACATTTATATAATTGTTGGTAATGTTCTGAATGTTTTGATGTATATTATGTGTATTTACAAAAAAAAAATATTCAACTATTTAGTTTTCAGTATCTACAACACAGGCTCTGCTGAGCTTGGGACTTGCATATATATATTGTTTAAGTAGTACCTACTACTACTGAAAATCAGTATCCGTAAAAGAAATACCATAATGCTGTTTTATATATGTGTATATATATTATAATCACAGATTAAACATTTTTCATTCTGTTCTATCAAAAATATTGACATAACAAAATATAATTCAGCTGCTATTACAAATAACAAGAATACTAGTACTTACAGGATCTGTGAACATGGTCCTAAGATGTGACGCAAAAGCAAGGAAAGCCAAAGTCTGGAATATGAACATATTGACATATCCGTAAATCGGATATGTCGATAGGCCGGGCACGAGCATCACCATCATCACCACAAACTCCGCGTACAGTATCAACAGCCATGTTAGTACAGCGCATATTATGCCGCATATATCCTGCAAACAAAAACAATACATCCTTACTAATATTATAAATGTGAAAGTAGGGATGTTCTTTACGCTTTCACGTAACCGATCGTAACTACTGAACCGATCATCATGAAATTTTGTACACATGTTCTTAAAGGTACTAGAATGAACATAGAATACTTATTATTTAAAAAAGAAAAAGCTATTTCAGCGCTATCACTTTAATTTATAACTTCATTACTGGTTGCTAGAGCCATCTAGCAGCCAGAAATGAAGTTATGCGAGGGAAGCCGCGGGTAAAGGCGAGTAAGTACTAAAGTTGCCTACGACAGATAAGGGATCTTTACACGTACGCGCAGCCAGAAATGAAGTTATGCGAGGGAAGCCGCGGATAAAGGCTAGTAAGTACTAAAGTTGCCTACGACAGATAAGGGATCTTTACACGTACGCGCAGCCAGAAATGAAGTTATGCGAGGGAAGCCACGGGTAAAGGCGAGTAAGTACTAAAGTTGCCTACGACAGATAAGGGATCTTTACACGTACGCGCAGCCAGAAATGAAGTTATGCGAGGGAAGCCGCGGGTAAAGGCTAGTAAGTACTAAAGTTGCCTACGACAGATAAGGGATCTTTACACGTACGCGCAGCCAGAAATGAAGTTATGCGAGGGAAGCCGCGGGTAAAGGCGAGTAAGTACTAAAGTTGCCTACGACAGATAAGGGATCTTTACACGTACGCGCAGCCAGAAATGAAGTTATGCGAGGGAAGCCGCGGGTAAAGGCTAGTAAGTACTAAAGTTGTCTACGACAGATAAGGGATCTTTACACGTACGCGCAGCCAGAAATGAAGTTATGCGAGGGAAGCCGCGGGTAAAGGCGAGTAAGTACTAAAGTTGCCTACGACAGATAAGGGATCTTTACACGTACGCGCAGCCAGAAATGAAGTTATGCGAGGGAAGCCGCGGGTAAAGGCGAGTAAGTACTAAAGTTGCCTACGACAGATAAGGGATCTTTACACGTACGCGCAGCCAGAAATGAAGTTATGCGAGGGAAGCCGCGGGTAAAGGCTAGTAAGTACTAAAGTTACCTACGACAGATAAGGGATCTTTACACGTACGCTCGTTTACGCGCGAATAGGCTATCAAAGTAAGAATGTGCATGTAAATGTAGATATTATATGTCTTTACACGCCACACTTCACGAACGAAAAGGGAAGGAAGGCACGCGGAAGGGGAGGCCTTGCTGTTAACTATTTTTGTTCACTCTTTCGCGCGTATTGTCGTGAAAGATGAAACATTCGGGATAAAAAAAATTAAAGTGAAATGTCACTCTTTCACGCGTGGAAAGAGTGACATTTCACTTTAATTTTTTTCACACATTGTCATCTTTAAGATACATATATAAACTATCAATAAATCTATAATTATGTTTTAATCTGCTTGTAAATTACCTGCCATTACACGACACATTCCTTCACGCGCGATCAGGAGCGCGAGCGATTTACCGCGGGAAAACCATCGCGCGTCATTTCACTTTAATTTTAATTTATTTTTATTTTCCAGTGACATGTTTAAGATGTATAGACAGATGTCCCCCATTTTGCAATGACATTAATTATTTAAAAAAGGTGCTAAAGGAACAGAAGGTCTAAAAATCTTCATGAAAGGAGAAAGAAGAATCTACAATGAAATGTAGTACGCACTTGATGTGACCTAATGTACATAGCTTCAGACTCCAGAGGTGTTTATAAAAAAAAAACTAGTGAGTGCTAGCGACCTGCCCTTGCTTCGCCCGGATGTATATTATAACTACGTAACAAACATTTATATAACTGCATGTATAATATAAACCTTAAGGAAAAAATCTCTAAACACAATGGAACAGGCAGAATTTATTACGATGCAAAAGCAACAATTCTTGATACATAGTTTATTTTTTAGTCCTTCCTTTTGATTTATAAAAATACTATATATATACTATATGTGTCTTGTATGTAGAAAATCAAGGGTTCGCCTTATGTTCGGCTAATTTCCTTTACTAATAGAATTCCTATTTCATCCTACAAACCGACTTTCCAAAATAAGCCAGAATTATGCAGTCCCTTCTTTCACAATCACACTTATGTAGTACAAGGAGTTCAGTTCATGAGGAATGTAATTGGGTCAATGCATGACTAAAAGTGGTACGCAGTTTTATCCTGCATCTAATTTAGGCATGTACATTCCAATTCAATGTTGTTTTGTAATTTTGAAACGTAATCTAGAATAACCCTGTTTAACATAATATATGTTTATCACGATGGGCTAACTGACCTGACCTCATTCTCATCTTATCATCTTCCACTGGTGCCCCGCCAGCGTAATCCGTTAGCGCAGGCGGGTGCATCATTACATTATCATATACAAAAAAAAACATAATATATGTGCAAAATAATGTATGTCCTTCATTGGACAAGAAATAGGGAATTAATGTATAATACAAAGTAATAGAAAACTGCGTAACGTGGATTAGACTTAGATACATGCTTGGTAGTAAGTTAACAAGATTGTGATGCGGTCTGAATTCTAGCTTGAGTCTTGCCTAGCAATGGTTGTTAAGGAAAAATCCTAGACGTTATAAATAATGTGTTACTTAAACTGTGAGGTTTATTGTATAATAGTTACGTGTACCTATATGGCCATTTTCGTGTAAACTGTATACTATCAAAAGATATCTACTAGAATCATCTTATACACCAACAACAAATACTTGAAGAACGCCTAGTTATTCAAGGTAGAATGTACAATGCTATTGCTTTAGGTGTATAATTGTAGCTTTGTATATAGACGACGGTTATTGGCCGAGTCTTCACAGATGCAGGTGGATCGATTTTTCAACATTTGAAAATAATTAAAAAACCTGCATACTCTATTCGTAAGCAATTAGGAATGTAGATAAAAAATGGGTGATATTGATACATTTGTGGCATATATGTGGGTACATAGTTATTAATATTTTATGTTCACCGTCAATATAATAAAGAATCAGTCTCGTAAAGTGTCTTGTCATTATAACATCCTAGTTAACAGTTGTGCACTATAATATAATATATACCATTTGGCGACGAGGGAACCCAAATTATTATATAAATTGTTCATTGATATTATTAGTTGTGACATAATGAGTGAAAAAAAATCGAAGGATATTGGCTACTTGAAAGAATTCCAAATACATGTGGATCGGTGGCCCACCTACATGAGTCGACTTAGGGCGTGGTTCGTAATTAATGATGTGAAAATTGCAGACCAATCTAAATACTTGATGGCCGTGGTTGGCACCGAAGCCTTGGACCTTATAATCGACTTATGTTATCCGGAAAAACCTGAAAACGTGTCAATTGAAAAAAATCGAATCGCTCGTTGACGAACATTTATCTCCAAAGAGATCAATTATCGCTGAACGAATTATATTTAGATCATGCAAACAAACAGAGGGACAGTCAATAAGCGATTATCTTGTAAAATTGAAGAAATTAAGTAAGGCGTGTAAATTTTCTTCTACCGACAAATTAAAAGAGAATCTGCGTGATCAATTCGTTTATGGACTTCTCAGCGATCGTACACGGCAACGCCTGTTAACAGAGAAGGACGAGGACCTCACATTTACTCGTGCCTCTGAATTGGCACTATCGTTGGAGACGATGGAACGAGACTCGGGACCGGCTACGGAAGCTGGGCGTGGTCGCGGCGGCAGCGGTGTCACCGACCAGGAACCTGTGTATGCAGTCAGCGGCCGCAGTACCGGCGCCGGTAGCGGCCGTGACTGGCAAAGGGGAGCACGGCGACAAGCGCGCGGTAGTAATCGAGTACCGCAGCGCACCCAGCACAGGTGTTATCGTTGCGATGGAAATCATGCGTCAGACAAGTGTTCGTTTTTATATAGTGAGTGTTATGTGTGCGGAAAAAAAGGGCATATAGCAAAAATGTGTAACCAACGTAAACAAAAATCTATTCACGGGGTTAGTGGAGCGGTAGTGACAGCCACCTCGTCAGATTGTTCTGACTCCGAGGACGGGGCCCCCGTGACAGTGTATCAGTTAAGTGATGACGACTCAGACGAGAAGTGGAACGTTTCTGTTCACATAAATGATGTGCCATTAAAAATGGAGGGCGATACTGGTTCTGCAGTCAGTATAATTTCTTATGGCACGTATAAGACGTTATTCAGTGATTGTAAGTTACAAACATATACGACAAATTTAAGAATGTACAGTGGGCAAAACGTGAAACCGAAAGGTAAGATTCAATGTACAGTTCGTATAAAAAATAATATAATATCAAATTTAAACTTAGTCGTTATAGATAATGAATTCAGTCCATCTTTATTCGGTCGAGATTGGATGCGATCTTTTGGTATTATTTTTCCTAAAATATTGTCAGTAAGTACTATGCATAATACACAATTTACTGTACCCATAGACACAAAGAGTGCTGTATATAATTTAAAAAAAATGTATCCGGACGTGTTTAAATCGGGTGTAGGTACGTTTAATAAGTGCAAGATAAGGCTAGAACTAGTAGAAGGGGCGCAGGCGGTGTGGCGCCGAGCGCGGCCCGTGCCGCACGCGCTACGCCCGGCTGTTGATGCTGAGCTACAGCGGCTTCAGCATGAAGGCATTATATCACCAGTAGAATGGAGCGAATGGGGTACGCCCGTCGTTCCCGTACTAAAAAAAATGGACAAGTGCGATTATGCGGAGATTTTAAAACTACCTTGAACCCGGTTCTCATGGACGAGAAATATCCTATCCCAAGGATCGAGGATATATTTTCTACATTACAGGGGGGAGAAATATTCGCAAAAATTGACCTTTCTAATGCGTATCTACAAATCTTGTTAGATGAATCCTCAAAAAGGTTGTGCACGATAGTGACACAACAGGGAATATTTTGTTTTAATAGACTACCGTTCGGTATTAAGTGCGCTCCAAATAAATTTCAAAGATTGATAGAAAAATTGTTTAGGATGCCCTACGTAACTTGTTATATTGATGACCTAACTGTCTGTGGTATAAATAGACAGGATTTATGGATGCGGTTATTGAAAGTTTTTAAAATATTATCAGAGTGTGGATTAAGAGTAGCTCCAGAGAAATGTAGTTTTTTTCAGAAGTCCATATCGTATTTAGGACACGTAATCGATGCGGACGGGTTACACACGGAAACGTCAAAAGTTGATGCGATCAACAACACAGCAACCCCCACCAATATAAAAGAGTTAAAAGCGTTTCTCGGATTGATAAATTATTATGGGAAATTCGTGAGAAATCTGAGTGATATACTTTCCCCTTTATATCAATTATTAAAAAAAGGTAAAAGATTCGAATGGAGTAATTCTTGTAATGTTGCATTCGAGCGCGTGAAGAATGCATTAAAAAACTCGTCATTGCTGGCGCACTTTAACCCTTCGCGGCCGATTTCGGTCACGTGTGACGCATCTCCGTTCGCGGTGGCGGCGGTGCTGTCGCAGCCGGCGCAGTCGCCGGTGCGGCGCGGCGGTGGCGCGGCGTGCGAGCGGCCCGTCGCGCACGCTTCACGCACGCTCACCGCGCCAGAAAAGAACTATGCACAGATATGTAGGGAGGGGTTGGCTGTTATTTTTGCAGTTACTAAGTTTCATGAGTACATATATGGTCGAGAATTCACTTTAGTCACAGACTGTAAACCGCTCGCGTCTATTTTCAATGAAAATAAGGGAGTCCCATTGATGGCCGCGAGCCGTCTTCAGCGCTGGGCCGTAATACTAGGCGCGTACAACTATAAAGTTAAGTGTATCAGTTCAAAACATAATTGTGTAGCCGATTGCCTATCGAGGATTCCGACCGTTGTGACAGAAGAGAGTACGCGGATCGATTCATACATTAATTTTATACAAAATACGTCTCCCATTAGTTACAAGGATATTGCAAAATATACAGCATCCGATAAAGTATTGCAAGAGTTACATAAAAGTATTAAATCTAATTGGATATACTGTAAATGTAAAGATTTAAAGCCATATTTTGAAATAAAGGAATATCTCAGTATCGAGCAAGGCTGTATTTTATATGGTCATCGGGTTGTTATTCCCGGCGCATTGAGAGAGGCTATTTTAAATTTAATACACCAGACGCATCAGGGTGTGGTGAAATGTAAAAATTTGGCTCGAAACTATGTATACTGGCCAGGTATCAATGGCGACATAGAACGTGTGTGTGGCGCGTGCGGGACGTGCGCCCGCGAGCGGCCCGCGCCGCCGGCCGCGCCGCTGCACCCGTGGATGTGGCCACAGGAACCCTGGTACCGAATACACGTTGATTTTTTCTCGTTACCCGGCGATTCTAAGTATTATTTTGTTATCATAGATGCACACTCTAAATGGATTGAGTCATTTAGAGTTCACAACACTTCAGCTACTTCGACCATAGACAAATTGCGCAAAGTATTTGCACGATTTGGTCTTCCACATGAATTGGTGTCCGATAATGGACCACCATTTTCTAGTCATGAGTTTACAATTTTTTTGAACAGTCTAGGTGTACATCCAATAACAACGACTCCTTATAAACCTAGTAGTAACGGGGCGGGAGAAAATGCGGTAAAAATAATTAAAAAAGCATTAAAAAAAGCGGTTCATGACAAAATAGATTCGGAATTGGCGTTGGACAATTTTTTATTAATATACCGCTCTACACCACATAGTATAACTGGGAAAACTCCAACAAGCCTGTTGCTAGGCAGAGAGGTGCGTACACCTTTTAGTTTGTTACAACCCAGCACGAGCGAGTTAGTGAAAAATAAACAAAGAAAACAGATTGAATATAAAAATAATAATACCTATAGACAATTCAGCGTCGGGGATCACGTGTATTTTAAGTTGTTTCGGCGTAATACATTTACATGGGAAAGGGGTGTTGTCACTGACCGTGTGGGTCCATTGACGTACTATGTCAAGTATAATAATAAATATTTAAAAAAACATGTCGATCAGTTACGCATATTTAATAGTATTGATTCAAATTTATTATATGATTATGAACGTCGATCGAGTGGGGATGCTGCATCAATCAGTAGCGGTCAAATCGTGTCCAACAACGACCAAAATCTACCTGAACCCGATATTGAACCCGTGACGGAGACACAGCCGGTAGGCCCGCGGTCACTATACCCACAGGTGCTTTCGCCAGGGACTCATGAGTCACCCGATGGCGATGCCCCTAGATCGCGTTCAATTCGAATACGCAAACCGGTGTCAAGATATGGAATGGATGAATAATTTTTACAAATATTTTAGGTTTCACACAAGCTGTACATTTTTCCATTTGTGTATGCGTACACCAGTAAGCGTAGTATATTACTGTTATACTTACATAAGACAACTGGTTTAATATGTAATTGTATTTTTTTTTTTAATTTTAGTTATTTTTTATACTAATTGAACTTTAAAGTTAAACGTTTTTTTTGTTTCAGTGTTTTTAGTTTTAGATTTAGTTTTTTTTTAATATACTAATTGAACGTAAAATTTTATATATAAGATTAAGTATTATGGTATGTACAGGTGTAGTAAATATAATTGTTTTAGGTTATTTCTTTTCGTTACAGTGTTATATATCTACAAGTAAATAATTATTATGTATATATTACTTTGTAGCTAGGGGGGGAAGAATGGCATATATGTGGGTACATAGTTATTAATATTTTATGTTCACCGTCAATATAATAAAGAATCAGTCTCGTAAAGTGTCTTGTCATTATAACATCCTAGTTAACAGTTGTGCACTATAATATAATATATACCAATTTGAAGCTGGTTACAAAGAAAACTTTTTGGTATGGAAGTATGTCGACCTGCCATGACGCTCAGAGTTAACCATTAAGTGGATCAAAATCGCAAGATCCATTGAATTGCATTGAATCCAAACCTGGATAATTATAGGCAGATTATACGAGAAGATATTACCTATGCAGTAAGTGTTATGTCTCCAAGGCTAGAAAAACCAACTACCACGACTGTATGTAAGTAGAACACAGCATACATAATCTAAAGTATACTCCTGAAACTGGAATTTTAATAAGAAACACTATATAATAGTATTCTAGAATGTTATAGCGATTCCGATCTTGGAAATTGTATTACAACAAAAGGAAGGAAGGAAGATCGAAATCGGAAGTATTGTGTCGGCATGCGGAAGGTCCTATCTGATAGCTAGGCCAAAAAAACGAGTGTTGGTTTTTGAACAATAGAAGTAGCTATTAAATAATGTATTATCATCTTATATAATCTGGTTAATAAGGTTTTTTAAAAATCTAGTGGGCTTGAAATAACTTCCACTGTTAAATGAGGACAATAAAGCTACTATTATTAGACTTAGACTAGCTGGAAAACCAGTATTCCACAGGCGAACTGTAATGTACAGACATTTTTAACGAAATCTGTGCCTACTTTGTGGATAGATAGGTCGCCACAACAAGAGAAGAGTTTCTTGTTAAGTGATTGCTTCAGCTCCCTACTCGTTACTTAACAGGACATCATCCGCCCGGTCTTACTATTCATTTTAAAGTTCCATCTGACTTCTTTGTCCTTTTTGTTAAGGAATTCTCGATTCCTTATGGTTACAAAATTGAATAAAGAAAATACTTATATTAGCGCAATGGTTGACACCACACCATTGCGTATTCATTGGCAACAAATAATTTATACATAACAAACATTGATTATTTTTAATTTATTATTTACATAGTTACTCTTAAATATACATAAATACCATGTTTTTAGATAACTTAACAGACAAAAACTATATATCTTCTATAGTTTTTGTCTGTGCTCTTTTTTATTAAAACCTCCCGCTTTCGTTATAACCCCAATGTCTCAATTTTTTTGGTCAAAATGGTTCGATGGGGACTTTTGGAACATGGGGATGGGGATGGGAACAGTAATGATAACCAAGATCTGGATCAAAATTTAATCTTGTGTCCGAGTTTCTATTTGAAATGTCTATTGTGAACGGACTAATACGAAATAATATTACTTCCATCGAGAGTTAGGATATCAAATGAAAAAGGATTTCATTAATCCAGACATTTTTGCGTTTAAACAAATTCTTGGCTTTTATTTTAGTCCTACTAACTAGTCTAGTTTACGGTTTCGCATGTAGTCTAATTTAAATGAATGTCTGCTGGCGTGTTTATCCGACCCACCGCGCCCTATAACACTCACACGCGCCATTAGCAATCATACTGCCTATTCGTTTTTTCTCAATTGAGCTATCTACACAGATATTACAAAACATTTCTATTTATGTATATTTGTAACGAACAAACATAAAAACTGCTGGACCGATTACAAAAATTCTTTCACCATTAGAATCCTACGTTATCCATGAGTGATATAAGCTATGTATATATATATTACCAGAAACAATTAGGGATCCCTACAAAAACTTAAATAATGTAACTCAAGGTGTATAAAAGTATGTCTTTCATTGTATACGCTGTGGTAATATGCATCCGATGCGAAGCTGGGAACAGCTAGTGCTATTATTAATGCTATTATAGTTACATTATTTATTATTATTATTATTACGGATTTGATTAAGATAACAGTAAACTTCAAAACGTATTACAGATTTATTTCACTGTTTAATGGTACGTTAATATAATTTGACGTAGCCTACAACTGTTAATAAGATTAAAAGTCACAAATTTAAACACACGGACGTTCACGGGGCGGACCACTAGTAAAAATAAAAAGAATTTGGAAAATGCTACAATTCCAGAGACAACACTGTTAAAGTAAATTTGTTACAAAAGTTTATTAAGGATATTGTATATATGTATAAAAAAAAAACTCACCTTTATACACCATGCTTTACCCCCACAGCATCTGTTATGCATATCGCGATCAGTGTGTGTGAGAGTATAGCACTCTGAATCTATTTCATACTGGCTTTCCATATCGTCATCTTCAGAACTTTCATTGAAATCCCGTAGCATTGATTCTTTTTACAACTGAAATAAGCAGTAAAACTATATTAGAAATTATAATTTACAAAAAACAATGCCTGCATCACAAATTTTCTATATATAGATCTTTATGATCTAAGTGTCATCGGCACTTATTTCTTGCAACAATTACGATTCGACACGGATATTTTACGATTCGATACGATCACGATATTTTAATTATCAAAATGTGCCCAGTTGTAAGAAGATAGTCTCACAACTGGTTACATTTTAATAACTAAAATATCGTGATTTAAAACTAAAGTTAAAATGTAACTGAAAATTTAAGACCACTCCAAGGATAGAATAGGAATGGTCTTATAAATTCGTGTTTTACTTCTAAAATTGAAATTGAATGAAATCCTATGAATATGTCATGAATTTTACACGAACTTTGTGACTCCTTCAACCCCTTGTTATCAATGAGCGGTAATGCTTTAAAACCAACTAATAGCATTACAATAGTTCGAAAAATATACGTGTATAGGCTACGAAAAAACTGTAACAAAATCGGTCGCCGTTTAATAGTAACATTCCGTGATTTAATACTAAAATTGAAATGTAACTAAAATTTATAGAATTAAAATAAAACTGTAAAATTTATGAAATTGGATTTAATATATTTTATAATATTATAGCGTTACAATAATTTAAAAAATAATACGTAACAAATAAAGAAACCGGTCGGATCTTGTGAAATTGTATGCAACCAAACGGGAAGAATAAGCTTTCAAACAAAAAAAATCGTAATTAGCTCACGAAGAAAAGTTGATTTAATACATTAAAAATTCAGTCGAATTGCGAACGTAGAGGCCTGTTCTTAAGTCGGTTTAAAAATGTTACTAATATAAGAGATATAAGCTAATACTTTAATCATAAATATACATATGATATATTTACATATTTTAGTAGTACTCGTTTTAACTTAAAATAAGTCTATAAAATAAAACGTAACAAATATTTAATAAATTAAATAAAATGATAAAATTTATATGGGTTTATATTTAAATGCTCTAGTATTTACGAATACATTTAATCTATAATTACATCCACCACCCTCGCTCGAAACCACGAATATTAAAGTGAATTAAAATACAATTGGGCTTTCAACTTTAAAGCGTTTACTTTAAAGTCTTCTTTTGCAATTTTATTTTCGTTACGGCTGATTTGTTGTTATGCACATATATTGATAAGGCAGCAGATAAATTTCGAGAACTGCGAGGTTCACATCTCGCACAGAATGTGGTAAGCGACGGAAGAAAACTGATTAAAATTATGATTTGTGTTTAAAAACACCAATCTGTGAATATTCTAATTTTAAAACTATATTTTTACAATTAAACTAAAGAAAGCAAAAAATTATGAATTAAATTATTATTCCGCAACAATAAAATTTTTATTTACTCGTGTAGCTTCCTCCCGGTAGCGATGCAAAATGGCACTATATTTCAGTTATAGACGCAAAGCAATTACAATGTAATTACCTCAGCTCAATAATTACATTCTCAATACCTAGAAACTACATATATTTTGTAGTAATAATTAGGAGTTGAACATTCACCATATTGCAATTAGAACGAGTAAATATATCTAGTGGTATAATAAAATCGTCGACAGCGTTGTATTAATAGCCTTTTATTGAAATTATAATTTTCAGAGTGTGTAGCTGCAATAATTTGTTAGGGTTACGCCAAGCGCGTTTTAATTTTGTAAGATTAAAATTAATACATATCGCAAAAAGAATAGAATAGAAAATCATTAATTCATATAAAATTTGAATAGTATATCATTCTTTTAATCTACCGCTCATTCGGAAAGCAGTCTCATTACAAGAAGAACGAGCAAGAAACTTGCGTGTTGCTCATTTAAATAATAATCATAGTAATCATTTTTTAAATAGAGTACTTCTAAAAGTTTTTACTTAAATCACAGATACATAGTTAAATATATCGCTATATGATTTCGTAACATAACTATAGCTCTGATCTTAATTATAATAAAAAAATATATGATATTATATATATACAATAATTATTATGGTTTCCAATAAAAATAGGAAACAAAAAAATATATAAAACAACAAATTATAAACATAATATTTTGCAAAAGTGTAATAGATCGCTTTAGTTAAGCCAATTTTCTTCTAAACATCTGAAATATGAAAATCGTATTTAAATATTTATTGTGCATTTGAAAGGGTTCAGATCAGAAGTTCTAGCTTTGCTTTAAATTACTCTTGCAGACTGCTTAGGTCATGAAATAAGATATTTCCATTCCGTTGCGATAAGAATAATACGAGTACGCAAGGTATCATATTTCTTAACACAATAATACCTAACATCGTTAGTAATCGCGCCCAAAATTCCATAGAAATCGCCATAGGTCGTCTTTGCATATTTTTTACTTTATCATGTTTTATTATCAATAGTTACGATGATAACAATGAATTTGCAATTACTAAAGACATATATTATTATTCTTATTTAGATTAGAGATTTAGAAAACGCATAGTAATATTTATATTACATTAATATGAAAAAAAGATTTTTGATGTAATTAAGATTTGCTTTAATAAAATATGTATACTACGCATAGACTTTCATGTGAATAACATCGCAAGAGAATGCCTTTTTGTGCATAAACTTTTGCAGTTTTATATTTGTCTTTGACTATAAATATGTAAAATTTGCCGCATCTAAATTTCGCTTCTATGTCCATTTTAGCGCATTTTTACTTTATTTTACGGCTTTGGATATAGCATTACCATAAAAAGATATATACAATGTTGTTGATAATGATTAACTTCGGGATACTAGCAACAAATAGGTTAAATAGCAAGGCCAGTACCCCAGTCAAGGTTCAGCAGGCATTTAATTATCTATACATGTGATCTAAATGCACAATAATTGTTATTATAAAAACCAAATACATGTAACTAACTATGTAGTTAATTAAAAGTCAAATAATACATACAAACATGCCATGTTTCATAACGCACAGCGTTTAATGTTCAGTGTTTAATTTTACATTAATATAAATAAATAAGTAATAAATAGACAAATAAATATTCCTGGACAGTTAACACAGCGCTATCTAGTCCCACGGTAAGCTTGTGTTATGGGTACTAGACAACTGATATAAATACTTAGATATTTTTTTTGTAAATTCATACATAATATAAATAGAAAACAGCCAGACCAATAGAAACAATCATACCCAAATACAAATGTTTGCACCGTGCGAGGAATCGAACCCTCGAACATCGGCAGTAAAGCGGTGTGCTAAACGGCTAAACCACCGAGACAGTCAATATTATAGATATTGATGTAAAATGAAATTATTAAATTATTAAAAAAATAGACTTGAACATTTGAATATATAACAAAACATAGAATACTATACAAATAAGACAGGAGTAAAATCAAGCGCTTAAAGTGACGCACAGCAATATAATAAGTATTGCGCACAGACAACAAATAAAGAAACAAAACACAAAACAGTATGTTAAAAAAGCGTATTACAAAAGGCGATGTTATCGCTACTAGCAATCTCTTGAAGACAACGTGGCAGAGTATTTGCATATAGAGAAAAGGTACGGACTAAATAAGTTCACACAAGATAAATCATGACATGTTTGCGTCAAATAACGTTCTAATATGCCGCAAATATTCCAAAAGTTACAGGTTCAATTCTTGCATGATACAAACACATTAATGATCGATTTGTTGTACTGTTGTTGGTACTTTTTATGTATCGATTTAGAAAAGATATAATATATAACAGTACTTTTAAGTTAGTACACATAGTACAAGCTCTGCTTGGTACGGGACTAGATTTGGTACTAGATGGCGGTATAAAAATATTCTATGCTATTTATTTAAAAAAAGATAAACGAATTAGTTCATTCACGATTTGTAAACTGATTGGAATGAAAAATCTGAATTTTTAAACACTCTGTGAAGGGATGAAATAAATAATTTATGAATAATTTTATTACCTATTTCCACGTACAATTTTATTTCGTTATTTAATGTAAATGCTTTATTTATTTTTGTGGTATAATCGTACCAATAGACGCGTTTACTTGAAGTCGCGGTTACCACTAATTATTACAACTAAACGTTGTATTCGAAATAAATCGGGTCTTAAAGATTATGTCATACGTATGTTAAGGATTAACGTAAATATGGTTGAAGAAATTAACATGAAATTTTCATAGGATATATTGATAAATATGGGTCAACACATTTGTAAATACTATTGGTAATATAAAAAAAAATATTGCAATTGTTAGATTGATTCTTATTAAATTTCTTAAGACTCTTACCTGCCATTTTTACAATTTAATATTAGAGCATTAGTGATGTTGATAAATAAAAATTATGGATAACTGTGTTGTACAACGTGAATTAATTAATCAATTAAGTAAAAAAATATATTTTTTTAAATTTTTGATGATTAAAATTATTTTGAATAAAAATTTTAATTTTTGATTATTAATTAATATTAATAGACAAAAAATTTTTTCTTATATATAAACATTATTAATTAACATTGTAACACATTGTTTGATGACTCAATTAAAAAAACATATAATATAATATCCAATCAACCTAAAAAGGCGATATAATATTACTTTGTAAAAATTTTCCATACCCCACCTGCTATTTTATTAATTCATCTTTACATAGTATATGTACGTGTATAAAACAAAGTCGCCGCCGTTGTCTGATTACTTATATCTTTTAAATCACGCAACGGATTTTAATGCAGTTTTCAGCTATTGAAGACGAACCTTTATATGTATAATAAATGCGTGTTACAAGTACAGAACAAACCGGGAAGTTATAACTTACTAAACTTAGAACTTATAGCTTACTTATAAGACATTTATTATACATATAAACCATATGTATAATAAATGCTTGTTATAAGAACAAGCTGGGAAATTTAAAGATTACTTATTCACCCGTGTAAAGCTGGGTCTGATGGCTAGTTTACTAATAAAATGACGTCATAAAAATGCATAATTTATATTGTACTTCAATTATAATGGAACAGATAGCAGCTACAAATGTACTTACACTTATGAAATTGCAGGCTTCACCTACCCATATTATTAATGACCACTTTTATATTTATCAATCATATTAGGGGCCATCCACAAATTTCGTCATGATAAGGGAAGGTAATTTATGAGAGTAAACAAAGTGTGACATTGTGTGACAATGTTGCAAAATGTAATGTATATTGAAAGTTGTAATTATAATCTAAAACGTAAAAATAATTAATAATATGACGACCTCACACCAAGGATTCTCAAATATGTGTCTAGCTGTGACAAGGACGGGCCAATAATCATAAAATTTGTTGAACACACTTTGTAGATAGACCTGTATCACATATATGTATAAATAGTATAACAAATTTAAAAGTATCTAACTTAATAAAATTATACCATAAGTTTATAGCAATACAAGTTGTGTTCTTCCCTCCCCTCCCCAGTATTTTTGAGACTGTGCATTACGACCCCCTAAAAGTCTCCATTCGGAGACCTCGGGAGGTTGCAGATTAAAGAAAAAGGCAATAATTTTTTGAACCTACTATACAATAACAGTAAAATCAATTTACAAATATATCTTTACAATCACTGGCTATTATTAACATGTTTGTGGTTTTAGTCTAGGCTACTAGAAGTATGCCGGAAATTTTAACTCATAAACAACATTCGTCGTATGACAAAGTCATTTCATGGAAATTGATAAAAGCAAATCAAATAATACAATATTTACTTATTAAATTTGTGATCATCATTATTACTGAAACTACCTAGTTAGTTATACGAATTGTTTGTCACACTCTTCTTTCAAGGGTGACGTCACAATTTTACACAGATAAATCTAGCGTAAGCAACACAATGCAATTGTTATGTTTAAGGGCCAACAATTACTTACATCTTTCTAAAGAAGAGAAGACGTTACGTGGTATGAAGGGGTGGTGGGAGTGGGGGGAAGGCGGAAATTTGAACTATGATAAAATAGTTGAAATTTCAGAATATGTAATGTCACTAGGGAGAGAGGGTAATAAGTGTGACAAGGTTGGGAAGAGTAATTAGAAAATGACAATGTGGATGGCCCCTTATACAGCCGAAGTTTATATTTACATTTTTACTTAATTGTTCTAGTTTCATATTTTAATTGTTATTAAAATGTAGGTTAAAAAAATTAGAGACATTGTCTCCTAAATGTGTGATGAGAATTTATGGATCAGATCATTTATATTTTCACAAATCACGCAATTAATAGCAATAGTACATGGTTAATATTTATAAAATTAATTTAGTGCTAAAAGCAGTTTAACCAATTTGATTTTTTTTTGTTTTGTTTTCAGGAGTGAAGTGGACAGGAGTAATTAGGCAAAAAATCATAATACTCTACATGTTCCTCTGGAAAATGCAAAAGTAAATATCGGTAATTTTAAATGTGAAGTGCTACCTTAGATTACTTTCAGTAAGCTTCCTGGTAGAGTTTCTGTCAATACATAAAATTCTTAGATCAACTTTTTAAGATATTTATTGATTTCACAAAATTAATCAGACAGTCACTGAATAAAAAGTTCTATTAAAATATATCTCAATGTAGTATAATTGAGTTCATTTATTGACAGTTCTTCTTGACTCGTAACATTCCAAACTGAAAGTAAACATTATTTATTGTCTCAGTAATAGACCTATATAAATAAAATTATTATTATTTGAGTTGTAGTATAAAGTTCATTTAACAAAATACAATTATTCTATTAAAAAAAACAGTAACATATTACTAGAACTTATTTTAATTTGTTCCACAATTGTGTGGTCTACATTAAACAAATGCATTCTCATGAACATTAATCATTAGTTCCTGAGAATGCACTATTTTATTTTTCTATAAATCTTCTACAAGGAGCAACTTTTTCATCGATAAGTACTAATAATTTCATATATACAAGTGTACATGTCTGACTTGGTTACTTTTTCACAACCAAGTAGCTGTACAGATCTTATTGAAATTTGATGTAGATTTATTGTATTACAAGGATGGACCATGGTTCTTTTTTCACAATAATATACTTTTGGATGGGATGAGAATTATGAATACATAAGTAACATGTAGTCTATTATATAAAAGACAAGTCTGAACATGTTTATTATAATAATAACAAGTTTAGTATTTAGGTAAATAAATAAATTGTCCTTGAATAAAAATAGATTGGTGTATTAACGATATATGCAATATACACTGAAGTTTATAATGCACCCATGCAAGATAAAGTTACATAAATTAGACCAATTTTCTAAATCTACCATGAATTCACCAGGTTTCCAGGCTGGATAGAGGTTAAACTGATATGGTCCAAATAGGTCAGTAGTCCACTTGGAAACTAGTAAAAAGTGATCTTACTTCATGTGAATATGCTGGCAGAATACTAGAGGAGGATGATAGCTCCTCCACTAGTGCGCTGCCACCATGGATACTCCATTCCATTATCATCCAATAGGACAGATATTGTATTCTAATAAACATAAACACCATATCACCAAAACAATGATATTATTATATAGAAGGCATTTTTCAACATATTACAACTTTTATTGAATATTCTATAATGAATTAATAACCGCACAATATCCAACAACATTTCCAATGGTACTCACCTTGCTGAATAATCAAATAAAATATTTCTTTTATAAATACAGTACTATATGTGAGGGTCAAGGTTTATCAAAAAATACGTTGTTTGTAAATCTCATATTTTGAAGTAGACCCGAAATAGACCCAAAGTGGTAAGTCACAATTCTGATGGTGATTGTCGAAATACTTAACGCATAGCTCTATGCGAATTCACTTCATTTTATTTAGAGATATTAGATAGAACACTTGCAGTTCTTGCAAATCAATAAACGAAATTTTCAGATTTTGTCTCACTCAACTGAATGTCCTTCACATTCGTCAGTCTCAGTCCAACACACAGATTCTTTCTCTTTCACGATTTCTCCGATGCACTTATGCACTCTACTCTATGCTTTCACCCCAGCTAGAGCAGCACCAAACGTAAAAACTCGAAATAAATAAACCATAGAGTAAATGTATAGAAGTAGAGCATAAGGCGATGCACGATAACCGCAATACTGTGTGAGAGAAAGACATAATCATAATGGTATGAAGCATATTTATGGGTTTTGAATTAAATCTTATAGACTAATCTTATACTCATGTATTCCTCCATTTCTATTAAAAATTGTTACATAAGTTTAGTTGAACAAAGTCATTTACAATAACTGACTAACACTATTTTACACTATATTAATAATTTAGACAACATTAATTTATAAATAAAAAGTATTGTTTTAAGAAAGTTACCTATTTAAGGGGAAATTTATTTAGAGGCATCATTTATCATTACTCTCTGAAATAAAACGTAATAGAAGATTATTTCACGTCCAGTTGCAAAAGGTTTTCAAAAACCGATGCAAAAACCGAAAAAGAGATTCTTGGTTTATTTATTTGTATAAAAAATTGTTTCTTGTAATCTAGATACAGAAATATTGATATATTGCAACCAGTACCTTTTTTAAAATACATACCGTGAAAGAATCAGTGGTAGAGCTTAATAAACGGTACGAACCGAATACAAAATAACTAGTAATAACGAAGTACCGCGTTATTACTTACAAATACTGTGTAGTCAGTAACAGTTACTACTGTCTAAAGTTAATTAGGGATCTTTCATAAATGACATTACGCAAATTTCTTTACTATTTAAACTATCTCCAATCCTTTTTTCATTTTGAAATTTTACACTAGAAAACTTATTGACCTAATTGACCTATGCTAATAAAAATGCACACCTACATTTTTAAAAACCAGAGACATGGGCTTTTTTGGCAAATTGAAGTCATGCACACTAGAATTGATTTTATTATTTAGTAAATAGTAACGTGATAATACTATAGCAACGTGTAATATTTTGTTTAGAAACTGTACGTTCGGGTACTGTATTTATCGTTACTTTTGGCTTTAGTTACTGAGTGATTTCGTACGCGTTTAGTTAATACTAAGAAAAAAATATAAATATTGTCTATTACATACATTATACTATCTCTTTTTCTCATACAGTATTAACCTTATAGTGTATCTCGCTCTGTCAGCCCGTTGTCCCTCTCTGTTGTGTGTACACTTTGGGGTTGCCAGTCCCTATTTAAATTCAACTAAATTTGATTCTATGTAACAACCTGTGATGGTTATAAAAGTAAAGATTTTGCACAGTTTTAGGGAATAATTGTTTTATTCGTATTGAATTCGCTTTTAAATATGGATATATGCTTGAAAATGAATTAATACGTATAATAAATTGCAAACGTAAAAAAAAAAAATTGTGTCACAGATTCATACAAAAAATATTTGCAAGTGACGCACGCGTGTTAGGTCCTGTGTAATGCTGCGCTGTCACTCGTGTACCTATCTGAGCATGTCGTTTATATCATAACTAAAGGTATTCTAGGTATCATCTAGCCCAGACTTTAGCTCTATCGATTAATCCTGTCTGGACGCCCGGCCAGAGCTAACATCGGCGCAGTTCCTTGCCAGCAATGCCACCGGTAAGTCCTTTATTTGGTTAAAGGAACTATTGGAACAACCTTTCAACAGTTATTCAAATAATTCTTTTAATCTCATATATTATAATATGTAATATACTAACTAACAATTTTCAGGTTTTTGTATCCAAGTTACTTTGATTATTTGTTCTTCCATATAACGAAGTCCATTGTTGCTTACAGAATGTTCAACATTGAATGAGAATTTATACATATGTTTAGTGTTTTGAAATTATGTTATAAAAACTAAAACATACTAATTCTTTCTGATGATTGAACTTCGTTTGGAATATTTTTAACACTATATTTAAAAAAAAACTTAAGTTTTTTAAAACTTATTAAATAATAAAAGTAGCTTGTTACAAAAGGAGCACAGTGGTACACTGGTGTAACTGCGGCCTTTTAGAAAGGGATCCTTCGTCTTCACTTTATACTTTCTTTGTGTTATATAAGATTAATTGTAAAAGGTATATCAAGTCAAATTTCAGTTGGAATATTTGTAAATCTGAAAGACATTTACTTAGAAATGTGAAATCTGAATTTTCTTTTTAATATTTCATAGTTAATTTAACATTGACTGCAAAAGTTGTTTAAATAAATATTACATTTTGATTCTTTGTGAAAGTTGTGTTCGATGTTCATGGGGCGGGTTTATTGTGAAAACTTATGATCGAGTATTGGCATGATATATCCTTTGTTACAATCCCAATATAGTGTAGCTCAAAGCATAGGTGTGGCAGAGAGTGGTCGGAGAGGGCAGTATTCCCCCTGCACCTGAATATGTATGTTTCAATATATTAAGCATTAACTTTTTGAAAGACTCCATTTTAGCATAAAATTCTTAGTTGCCACCAGTGGGGTATATCGAATTATCTTCTATCTTAGGAACAAGCTAGAATATAATTTCATGCACCCCACTGGTCCAGAAATAAATTGGGCTCTCTGTGGGTCTTAAATTGTATGTCACTATATTAAAACACTGTGATCTAGTATAAGCATTGGTTTTCAGCATAGTGATATATCCTTTGTCCTCAATTCTTATATAGCGCAGCTCAAAGCATGGGCATGGCATGAATGGTAAAAGCAGGCCAGATACTCCCCCTTCCCTCCTCCTGAACATACTGGCAGCGAACAGCAACACTACCTTACCCTGCCCTAAAAATCATTACTCATTATCATTACTGTATTTTGGCTTAAATCCTTACTCGCCTTATCTAAGTCAAAAGATAATGTAACTTCACCACCAGACCAGAAGCAAACTTGTCCCGCTAATACCTGGGCTCCTCACAATCCTCCTCTTAAATTGGGTGTTATTGTACTGAAAACCAGTCATTTAGATATACTGATTTTCAATATAGCGATATATCCTTTGTTACAATCCCTATATAGTGCAACATGGGCGCGGTCATAGGGGACAGAGATGCGCATTTATTCCCCCCCTCCCCCCTGCTACTGAAAATAGTGGCTGCTACTGCAACTCTCACCCCATCCTAAAAATTTGTTTTAATATATTAAACATTAACTTTTAAAAAGATTGCATCTTGACATACAATTCTTAATTGCCTTTCTTTTCTGGCTTAGCAGAAGATTAGCTTAATATGACTTGTCCCACATGATCAGAAGCAATTTTGCCCCCTAATTTTTGGGCTTCCTGCGGGGCCTAAATTGAGTATGCATACTAAGAATCTGACATTTAGTATTAACATTGGTTTTCAGCATAGTAATATATCCTTTGTTACAATCCCCATATAGCACAGCTCGGAATATGGGTGTGGCTAGAGGGGTCAGAGCAGGGCAAATAGTCCCCCCTCCTCCCTACACTTAAAATGGCTGCAGCTACACTCTTTCACTCCACCCCAAAAATTTGTGTTTCAATATATTAAGCATTAACTTTTAAAAAAACTGCATTAAGGCATTTATTCCTTACTTGCCCTTACATAAGGCCAGACCCTCGGGGCTTAAACTGGGTGTGTCACTTTACTGAAAATCCTTTGTGACAACACGCCCAGGCACGCGCAGGTCAACGCCTGGGCGTGGCCCTCGCCCTGAAATTGATGCAGGTTGCAGTAGCTGCACTCCCTCCTTCCAATTTATTAGAGCGGGGTTGGGGGAAGCTACTTGCAAACGTCCTCCTCTCCCCACCCCTCAATCCCCGCGCTCTCTATGCATCATAATCTGGGTGTGACCATACCTCAATGCAATTTTTACCAATTAGATACAGTATATATCATAAAAATTGAAATTTATTAGGCATGTATTTCAATTTCTGTAAATATAGACATTTCTATATAAATTCTAATACTGAATACTTCAGAGTATTATGGTCCCCTAGTTAACTATTCCGACTTGATTCAAAAGACATACCTTAAATAAAATCTAAAATCTGTGTATGACATTGGATTTGGAGGAAATGTGAACAAATCAAGTGTTGTATTTGACAGAATGTTATAGTTAGTTGTTACTGCCACTCGCCACCATACTTGAGATAACATACATGTACATATACTATTATTATGTCTCTCTACTATATACAGAGTGTCCCAAAAGCTGTCGGCAAGCTGGAACATGGTAACTGAAAATCAATGTTAAATATTTTGAAATGATAAACATCATGAGAAAATCTATAGCCTGTGTTTTGTCTTATTTATTACTGTTAGGTATTTCTATAATATTTTTGATTAATTAATTCCGAATATTTCCTTCTTTAAGACTGGCCTATAATTTAAAGTCAATTGTTCCAACTTGGAAAAAAAAATGTCGCTTTTTTTCCAACTAGGGTTCCATAATAGGCTAAAATTTGTTATTAATAATATTTCTTAAATTGTGGACATTTTTTTTTTTCAATATAAACTTAATTTTTAATACGTATTGAACATATTTTTAATACTTAAAAATTATTTTAATCCCGTTGTTTCTCTCAGTACTTAATTTTAAATTACATGCCCTAATATGGCATATTGGGAACTGTGAGCGAAACAGATAGGGACGCTGACGTGATAGAGACGAAGAGAGTTGCTTTAGGAAGTGAGAGCAAGATAGATAGTGACGCTAACGTGATAGAGACGGGGAGAGTCGTTTTGGAAGTGCGAGCGAGACAGATAGTGACGCTAACGGGATAGAGAGGGGGGGACTCGTTTCAGGATGTGCGAGCGAGATAGTTAGTGACGCTAACGTGATGGAGACTGTGGAGAGGAGACATCATTTTACAAAGTGAACTCGACTTCGTCGCACGCGTCTCTCTGTACTTATTCGTTCGCGTTGCTTTTGTACAAAACACAGTTTACTTCATTTAGTGGACTTGATTTCTTGTTACTTGTTTTGCCCTGAACTACAGTTTAATCAGTGATTGTGTATTACAATATATTATAAAAGTAAATATATTTTTAGATTTTCTCGATATTTTTGGTCTATACGAGATTCTACCATGACGTCACTTTTTGGACATTCTGTATAATATATCATATATTAATATTTCGCCGTTCTTTTAATTTATTCGCTTGGATTTTCTTTGAGTTTTGTCTCATATATTATTTAATAAGTATTACCTACTTAGTGTCCAGAGCTACATCTTAATGTCATTACGCTTTTTCTTCAGTAGTGGAGCATTAATATTACATTTATTATAATATATTTTATTAATTTTAATTTCATCATTGCAATCCTTATTTTAATCGTAATTTATATTTTAATTTCAATTTTTATTTTATTCGTTTTTTCATTCTTAATTAAATTCATACTTGTAATCTTAATTTAAAAAATTTAAGTTATAATTTTAGTAAAATTTTATACTATATTTAGACTTTAATTTGAATCGTAATTCAAATTTTAATTTCCAACTTAATGTCAGCCGTAAATAAAATTTTAATGTCAATCTTAATTTTTAGAAACTTTTGCTACAACATACAACATTGCGGAATTACCTTCCAAAAATGGGGTATCGGAACCGATACGTTGTTGATACCTACAAGAAAAGAGCATATTCTTTCTTAAAAGTCCGGCATCGCACTTGCAATTCGACTGGTGTTGCTGGTGGTGTTCATGGGCGGCGGTAATCACTTACCGTCAGGTGAGCCGCAAGCTCGTTTATCCCTATGCTATGAAATGAATTAATACTTTATTTCAATCCTAATTTCAAACTTAATGTGAACATAATTTTATTATTAAAATTGAAATTAAGATAGAAACTGAAATATATATTACGATTGAAATTAAGGTTAATATTAATATTCAAGTTTTCCATATAAGTCAGAAAAAACGATCGTCATCATCTAGTAATATACCCAATATTTCATTTGTCACATCAATTTCCATTCTGCATATCTTTGAACACATATGCTGCCTTTACACGTACTCTCGTTTTTTCGCATCAATCTGTTATCAAGCGGGGAAAGTGTTTTTTCGAACTCATCTAATGCTTTTGGCCTACTGGCCCTTTTAGTTTCTGCAATCAAGTACGATTTTGTAATAAACGCGTTTTTATAATAATAATGGTAACTGTCAAAAATTGGACATCCAATTACTGAGTAAAGATTTACTACAGATTATTACAGATTTATTGGTATTTATGAATCTTAAATATGTCAAAATAAAATTTTATAAGAAAATCAAACAATCGCGAGCGAAGGAGAGACCACAAAACTTAGATAAGTGTGGTTTGCGCGTGCGCTCTTTGTTACTTTAAATCATTTGCGGTCCTGATCGCGAAAGAACAAGTCGTGTAACAAAGCAACTACCCTGTAGTAATTTCAATATTCCTCTTGTATAATTTTTATTATTTATTTTTAGCCCGTCAAAGGGAAGCCACCGACAAAAGGCGCAAAACGAATACTCGTGGAAAATGTATCGACGATTAATTTCTACCGCAATATGGCAATGGCTGCTACAGGGGTGTACTGCATTCTCACGCCAACCTTCTATTCGGACAACTTAAGTTCATCAATAATTGTAAGTATAAAATCTTCTAGTTTATTATCAGATTTGAATATTTTTTTCAGTGAATCAAGATTTGGAATCATTTTGAGTCAAAGGGTGATTATTTTAGTAGTACGACTAAAACTCGTCTGCGTGGGTACATCAGTCTCATTTATTTCAGAAGACAAGCATGATTTAAAGCTGTTTTAGTTTGTAGGGTGCGGATTAGGAATAAAATTACAGGATAAGAGTCATGACATTTCAGTGGGAATGCCAACGCATGAGGGACCTTATGACAGCGTCCCCTATACACTGTTCATGTATATAGGCGACGGTTGCCGCTTAACAGCAGGTTGACCGTCAGCTTATTTGCTATTAGCTGTACCCGCGACTTCGTCCGCGTGGAATTTAACTTTATTTTCTAAAATAAAAGTAGCCTAAGTTACTCCTTATTACATCAGCTATTTGTTAAAAAAAGTGCCGTCAAAATCGGTCCAGACTTTTCAGAGATTAGCCGGAACAAGCAGATAGACAGACAAAATTGGTAAAAAATGTTATTTTGGTGGCTTAGTGAAGTGACTTAGGCTACTTTTATTTTAGGCTAGCTGTACCTGTGAGGCTATTTTTATTTTAGGCGTCTTCGTCCGCGTGCAATTTAACTTTATGTTTCTAAAATAAAAGAATTTTTCTAAAATAAAAGTTGCCTAATTTACTCCTATTACTACCTGCTAAAAACATTCCGTCAAATTTGGTTCTGCCATCTCTGAGATTAGCCGGAATATACAGACAGAGACAAAATGATAAAAAATGTTCATGGTGTATGTACCGTATTTATATTCATATGCACGTGGTAAAAAACGGTTATTTCAACATTACAAACAGACACTCCAATTTTATTTATATGTATAGATACTTATTTTTTTTATAAAAAACTAAGTTAACACTTCTGCTCGTAACGGCTAGTTATAACAGTACTATTTAATATAGAAACGTTGGCATTATTAGTTATGGGTCTATGAGGGTATATATTCTTAGCTAGCTGTACTCGCGACTTCGTCCGCGTGTAATTTAACAAAAAAGTTAATTAGAAAATTTTTCTAAAGTAACAGTAGCCTTAGTTACTCCTTATTACAACACCTACCTACCAATAAAAGTTCCGTCAAAATCGGTCCACCCATTTCAGAGATTAGCCGGAACAAACAGATAGACAAAAATTGTACAAAATTTTATTTTGGTGTATGTTCCGTAATTTTATTCATATGTAAGAAGTAAAAAATGGTTATTTCAATATTACAAACAGACACTCCAATTTTATTTATATGAATAGATTATGGCGTTTCCCCTACTGTAATTTTTTTTGTCTTTATTCCCGCTTAAATTGTGCTATCCGTCTGACAGTCACTTTTTTTTCAGTTCATAAACGTACTAGTGATGTGCGGCTACATTGCATGTTATCGAATGATGAAGTATATTAGTCGCCCACACTATACTGCTGACAATCAACTAATCGATCCAGGTCTGGATTTGAACATGGAAGGAGGAATTGGAGAGTGAGTATTATTTCTCTATTTATTAATTCTTCTCTTATTTTTTACGATTTACCCACTTGTAGGAGTGATTTACACAGCGACATGTGACGCGGAGCGTGGCAGTATTGGCTGAAAATTAATTTGATTAACGATTAATAGTAATGATTTAAAAACAAATCATAAATTTGATTAAGGATTGCTTATTCATAATTAATATTGAAATTTATATATATAAAATAAAAATCATAATCATTAATCGTTAATTTGATTAAGTATTATATTTAATTATGTCCAAATTTAGGTGAAGTTCATCGAGATTTATACGAAAGTCGTCTGTTTTGATACCAGGGTTGTGTGTATTTTTGTCTTCAAGCTCTTCAATCAAGTTGTAATTTGATTGATGAGTGAGATATGGCAGCGAAATTATAGGGTATTGAAACATGATATTTGAGCTCTCCAGAATGACAACTCAGCGGGTATGGAGAGCTTCATGTGTTGATCTTAAGTTCGTAATGATACGATAACAACATATATAAACATTGGTGTCTATTTATCATCAGACCGTCAGTTTTTTTACCATTATAATTAATATTAGCAGTGTAGATGTGGATGAGGATAATGATGGTGATAACGACGATGGTGATGATGATGTTAATAACGATGATGCAATCGATAATGATGTTGAAGTCGACGAAAATTATGATATTATTGTCGATGACGTGATGAATGCTTGTAATGGTGATGTTATTCCATTACAATCTAAATCATCGACATCATCATCATCCACAGATTCATCACTGACATCATCATCATCATTGACTGTAATTTAGAATAATTTATTTAGATTATTTTTTATCTACCGTTTTAAACTTTTCGTCATCATCATTTCTTCTATTGTTATCATTGTTTGGTGATTTTTTTACTTGCAACAAGTCTTTCACCCCATCAATGGGATATATATAAAATATATATTTACTAGTTGTACCCACGACTTCGTCCGCGTAAATAATGAAAACAAATAAAAAAAATCGTTTGAACTGAAAAAAATGACGAATTTTTTAAATATGTTTAAGTCTATGTCCTTCCTTAGGGTCTAGACTCTCTATGTATCAAATTTTATTTAAATCGGTTCACTAGTTTTAACGTAAAAGCGAGACTGACGGACAGACGGACAGAGTTACTTTCGCATTTATAATATTAATAAGGATCAGGATAATGCAAGAAAAATAATAATAATACTCTTTACTGTGAATACATAATTATCATAGCTTCATCAAAATTATTATCATCATCATCATCTGAATTATCATCGATATCATCATCACCATCACCATCACATACACTCACACGTACCTTTAGCAAATTCAAATTATTACTAGATGCGGTTGGTTAGCTCCGATCTGTGGTTGTGATAGGTATTTAAAAAAAAATTGTAGGTGATGGTTATAGTCAATCGTAAAATATCTTGAATTAAATGTTAATCAAGCCTTAATAAGTTAATCAATTAATGTTTATGATTAGTGATTATTACGACTTTTTTTTAATCATGATGAAGATCAATCGTTTTTTTTAAATACTTAACTTAACCTTTACTTAACCATTACTGCCAATATCGGTTATTGGTACTAGACCATAGATAGAAACACTTTACTTTTACATTCTTTAGTAAATACATTTATAATATACATAAAAAACTTATACAAACAATTATCATCATTACGAACTTTGAGCTACATAGGTATCGAACACGCGACTATCTGATTAAAGCAGTGCACTAAATTCATTATTATACATATAGTTATATTTAAAAAAAAATCAAAACCATGTCAAAATGTAATGTGTGGTTTAGAAAGGGAGAAAGAGACAGACGAAAACTGCTACTTTATATTATACTAATTATTAGTTTAATTATTACTATATAATAGTTAATTTTGTAATGTATAATAATGTAATTATAGGCTTCCTAAGTTAATAGTTGTAAATTATAATGAAATTTTGAAAAAATATACATGAATCAAAAAGTCCAATAAGCTGTAGCTAACAACCGCTTCAATCAAATAAAAATACGCATCATAATTGGTCCATTCTGTTAGAAGCTATGATGCACAGTCACGTTAAACTTATAACACTCTTCTTTTTCGTCCGAATTTTGAAAACAGTTGCAGTTGTAGAAACTTTGGCAAAAATCTTCTACAAATTGTTCTTGTTTGTAATAATAATAAATAATATAATAATTATAATCTTAGGACAATTCATACAGCGCCATCTAGTCCCAAGTTAAGCTAGCTAAAGCTTGTGGTATGGGTACTAGATAACTGATACAAATACATAGAAATATTTGTTTTCGTAAATACATACATATTACACATGAAAACATACAAACAATCCTTCTCATGAATACAAATATATATTGACAGCCTCGGTTTTAATTTACTTGGTCGGTGCCAAGCGAGGAATCGAACCCGAGACTATCGGAAGTAAGGCGGTCTGCTACACCGTTAGACCGTCATCTTCTTTCATACATATGTATGTATAATAAAAAGGAAATTATTCACTGTATATATATGAAAACTAAAATAATGCTTGTTAAAATTTGTCTGTGCGTTTGTCATCAGCTAATCAGAAATAGCAAAAATTCCTTGTTTCCCTTATTCCAATCAGTTTGCAAATAAAAAAAATACCAATCAAATATTTATAAATGTATTTTTTTTTCAGACATATCAAGGATATTGTCATCTTGTTGTCTCTGACACACATTTTGGCAATAGTAACAAATTATTTCTGGTGCCTACTCCTGGCTCTCCCGCTGCGGGCGGGTTGGCTGTTGTGGACTAACATCCTGGGGCCCTGGTTCTTCCAGCCAGCCCCAGAGGAGACCGAACAAGACGAAAAAAAGAAGAAAAAGAAAATGAAGCGGGTAATTATTATTTAGAAATCATTATTTATAATAATATTATATTTACTAATAATTAATAATATTTTGTTTACTCTGAATTACGCTGATGTATATAGGATGAGTCAACATGTGACCAAAACATCAACTGTTAATAATAATATGTCAGGACAATTCACACAGCGTCTTTTAATCCTACGCTTAGCAGAACTTGTATTATGGGTACTAGACTACTGCAATATCCCAACTGGGATATCACATGTGATGATATTGCTATTATTATATTATTGAGATTTTCAATGGATTAAATGAACTTGGAAGATTAGAAATAAAAGTTTGTAAATAAATATTGTATATGGTTATAAATAAATTGTTATTCTTATATTTTTTTTCTTTCTTTCACAGATGTAGGGAAGGGCCCATATACGTACAAAGTTACGTGTATGCTGAGGGTAAGCGCATAGAATACGGAACAGAAATTTTTTTTTATTTTAGTGACTTTTTTTTATATAAATTACCTAGTTATTATAATTTATGATACTATTTACATTTTAGTCAGATAAATTAAATTTAGTATACATTTTAGATTTACATCGAAATTATTATTCAAGGCAAATGAAATTTCCGTATACAGTTATTGTGATTAAATAATTTATATTAAACTTATTTAAAATATTGGTAATAACATTTTTAAACTTATATAATTGACTCGTAAGTTTTAGCATTGGATTTTAAAACAACTGGTATTTTTTTAACCGTCACTATATGAAAACATTTTAAAATATTTATTATGTAGTATTTTTACAAATGGTTCTGTTTCGATAACAAAAATTGTGTAATAATGTTCTACAAAAACTGTTTATTTCTATTAACAATGTTCATTACCAAAGTTTTACAAGACTTCAGTAACAATATAACTTAATTTCTGAAACTTTTGTTAATGTAATATATAGTATATGTGTATGTAAAACTGAAATATTTTTTATATTAATTGTAAAACTACTATCGGACTGACTGCTCAGATGTAAGACACTGGCAACAAATCGACTGTGGTTCTCTATAAATCTTTAGTATATTTTATTCGAAACCATAACATAGAAATTTTCGTACATTTAAAGCATAACCATTTTTGTCGTTAAACCATTATTTCACAGTAAGCGATGATGTTCAGGTATGTAATAGATTTATTTCTATCCAATGAATATTAATTCAGATAGGAGAGCAATGTTAATCATGAAATTGTCATTTTAATATATTGTTTCGATATAAGATCAATGAATCGTAATAGACGACTATGATCAATTTCCAATGCCATTTTTATCGTTTTCATCCGCCAAATGGTTTACTTTGTGAGCTGTGTTTCGGATGAAGGGTGATTAATGGCATTGGTGGGATACGGAGACACTGATTAAGTCATTGGGGATGAGAACACATGAGCCGTACCATGCGCTACGTACGATCTGCCCGTGGTACTGTTAATGTAACAGGCGACGTCCCTGACTCACCGGCCGGTGGTCAGTTTGTTTGAGGCCCTCAGCTGCGGTCGTCAGCCTGTTTATCCCTAAGTAATTAAAAAAAAAATTGCTAATTAGATCTAAGTGTCTCACGGTCGCACTCAGAGACGTTACTTAAATTATCGCTATTGAATATGTAGTATCATTAAATCTGACACAGACAAATTTAATCATTAATTGGCAAATGACAACTTTAATGCAGAACAGGACTTCCCTATGAGCTGCAGTTCGATAAAGTAGTATAAATTATTCGAAAACAGATACGACATTCAAGTTTAAATGTTCTGGAAGTTTAATAATTATTTTGAAAAATTATCAAATGCACTACTAAATATGTTTTTGAATATAAAAAGAAAGAAAAATAGCCATCTTTATTATAATAAAATATAATGAGCATTTATATTTCTAGTCGTGAATACTGTGCATGAATTTTTGTTGTCAAATTTGTCAACCACATGAATTACACCTTATAGGTTTCTTTAAAACGAATGATAGATTCAATATATTTTTCACTTATCAGAGTCGCAAGTCTGTAGCTATATATTAAAATATAGTTTTAGAATTTTACAATTAACTTATAAAAAAGTAAATGACGAGGTTCAATGCAAAATAACCTGAAAATGTGCGTAAATAACCGTTGGTTTATCATTAAATTTGTCATTATCTGTCACTAATTAACCATTAGCTGTCTCTGAGTAGGATAGTTTTGACAACTACACTAAGGAGTTGCTTAAGTAACCATTTAACGTCTCTGACTGCGACCTTTAGTTATAAGTATATGTATAACATTTTTAACTTTTCAATTATTCGAAAATACTGTTTAAAATTGTTTATTTGTTTTTGAAAATTTGGTAATTGGTTTTAAAAATATATTATACTTTTTTTTTACATTGGTATTATTTTATTTATTATATTTTATTCATTAATCATAACTTTTGCTTTATTTTAAATGTTGACTTATATGTGCATGAATATTATGACTTCATTGGCTTGATTAGGTATTATTGTACCGGTTAATCATGACGAATGATGATACAGGGTTAGTCGAATGCGCATAATTATAAGGCCAGATGGAATTCAAATGAAAGTGTTTCACTGTCAACATACCACAAAGTGCAAAATTTAAAGTAGTTTCGAAACCTACTTACTTTGTACGTAGTAGGTAAAGTTAAAATTTTTATTAAAATCTTGGTGAATGTCACAATTTTTTAATAAAATAGATATATTTAATGGAATGTTGCTCCAGTCTGTGATAACGGTTTACGCTAACGGGGCACCAGTGGAGGATGATAAAATGAGCGTAAGGTCAAGTGAGTTAGCTCATCATAACATCTGGAATTTATCACTATGGTCCGGGGGGAACCGCGTGGAGGTCTACCTAATATTGCTAGCAAGGTGTTTAGTCCAAATTACTGGCAATCCCTTTCAGCTCGGGCGTACTCTTTACGACTAGCCCTGTATAGAATGCTAAGTGATCTCATTTGTATAGTAATATTACTAGAAAGAGTTCTATGGTCCTAATATTTTTCGTCTCTCTGGATATATTTGCAACTACTTATATTGTTTTATATTACATTTAAAAATTATTTAGAAGTGTGTCCTAGTCCGTCTTATAAATCCCAATGATCCTGAGTTCCAGTCTGGTTCACATTTATAAACACTACCCATTATTGCAAATTCTCATAACAAAGCAAATTTAATTCGTGAAGGCGAGTATAGCTGCCATTATATATTGTGTAAATTTAAATTTCTACTCCAAAGATTTAGTATTTAATTTTCTGCCATAACTAAGATGGGCGCCGAGAATAACTTTAAACTTTGCACCCTTCTCCCCATAAACTTTCCGGTCTTCTTCTGATAAACTTTCCACCCTTGTTCTGATTAACTTCCCGCATCTTTACCTTCCCAAATTCGCTTTTGATTCTTATTTTCCATTTCTACACCAAAAATATTAAATTTCCATAACTAAAATGGGCGCTGAGAATGCTCACAGAGAATACGTTATAGCCATATTAAATTTCCATAACTAAAATGGGCGCTGAGAATGCTCACAGAAAATACGTTATAGCCATATCCAAAATAATTTTACTTAAGACTATTTCGCCAAATTATTATATTCAAAGCACATGAAGTATTGCGGTCAGGGGTAACTTCTGCTCTAGCGGCTTTTGCTTGAGTAAGAATATCGGGTACGCGACCCCGACCTCCCCAGCTGCTGCAGTTTTATGTTTAAATTCTATGGAATTGAAACATATAACTGCAGTATCCCTCCTTCGCCCCTTCTTTAACCCTTCTTTCGCCTCTTAATTCGCCCCTTCCTTCGCTCCATTCTTCGTCCCTTCCTTCGCTCCTTTCTTCATTCCTTCCATAGCCCTGTTCCTCATAAACTTTCCGTCCTTCCCAAAAACTTCCCCATATTTATTCCGTCCCAAATTAGTTCTTGATTCTTATTGTCTTCCAATTTTATACCAAATATTCAAGACGTCATCGTTGACGTCAGGTAGTCGCCAGAGTATAAAATTTAAGTCCAAACTATTGTTTTTGTACTATTTATTTAACATTCTGATGATTTGGGATAAGGAATAGGAAGTGAAGCATTATGTTTCAAAAGTTATAAGATAATTCGGTATCTTTTGCGGTATACTATCGAGGGTGTTTATATGTATGGACATTTATAATTCTCTATTTTGTGATAACAGGGCGCACATTATATATTTCGGGAATTTATAATTTTGGCTCGGAAGTTCTCGTATTTAAATTTCTGCCATAACTAAGACGGGCGTCGAGATTGCTCACGAAAAATATTTTTACTTGAGACTATTCGCTAAATTATAATATTATTCCCCCATAAACTTGCCGGCCTTCTCCCCTTAACCATCCCGCTCATATACCCTGTATAAACTGTCCACCTTTCTTCTCAAAAAATTAACTAAACTCTCCACATCTTTTCCTTCCCAAATTCGTTCTTGATTCTTGTCTTCCTTTTCTACACCCAAAATTCAAGGATAGTTGACGTCAGGTAGTCGCCAAAGTATAAGGAAAAGCCAAAACCATTGTTTTTGTACTATTAATTTGACAATCTAATGATTTGGGTTAAGGAATAGGAAGTGAAGCATAAGGTTTCAAAAGTGATAAAATAATTCGGCATATTTTGCGGTTTACCATCGAGAAAGTTTATGTGTATGGACATTTATTATTCTTTATTTCGTTATAACAGAGTATGGCTGACATTATATGTTACATGGAATTACATTTCTGACTTGAAAGTTTTCATATTAAAATTTCTTCCATAACATGACCGCTGAGAATGCTCACGGATAATACGTTATGACTGTATCAAAAATAATTTTACATTAGACTCTATTTGTCAAAGTATTTTATTCAGAGTACATGAAGTATAGTGGTCAGGAGTAACTTGAGCTCTAGCGGATTTCGCTTGAGTGAGAACATTCGGGTATGTGACCCTGACCTCCCCAGATGTTGCAGTTACAAGTTTCAATTTCACAACTGTAATATCCTTTCTTTGCCCTAATCTCTATTCCCCATAAATTTCCTCACATCTTATTATTCCCAAAATCGATCTTGATTCTTGTCTTTCATTTCTACACCCAAAATTCAAGGATAGTTGACGTCAGGTAGTCGCTAGAGTATAAAATATAGCAAAAACCATTATTTTTGTACAATTAATTTGACATTCTAATGATTTGGGATATGGAATAGGAAGTGAAGCATAAGGTGGCAAAAGTGATAAGATATCGGTATGATTTGCGATTTACCATCGAGTATGTTTACGTGGGTGGATATTTATTATTCTTTATTTCGTTATAACAGAGTATGGCTGATATTTATATGTTACATGGAATTACATTTCTGATTCGGAAGTTTTCGTATTAAAATTTCTTCCATAACTAACATGACCGCTGAGAATGCTCTCGGATAAAACGTTATGACTATATCAAAAATAATTTTAATTTAGACTCGATTCGTTAAATTATAATATTCTAAGTACATGAAGTATTTAGGTCAGGGGTAACTTCTGCTCTAGCGGTTTTCGCTAGAGTAAGAACATCGGGTACGCGGCCCCGACCTCCCCAGCTGCTGCAGTTATATGTTTAAATTCTATGGAATTGAAACATATAACTGTAGTGTCCCTCCTTCGCCCTTTTCTTTTCCCCTTCCTTCGTCCTTTTCCCCATAACAAGGGATACTGCAGTGATATGTTTCAATCCCATTGAATTGAAACATGTAACTGCAGTATCCCCCTTCGTCTCTTCCTTCGGCTTTCACCCCATAAACTTCCCGCTTTTCTCCCGTGACCATTCCACCCGCCTCACAGACTTCCCGCCCTTCTCTCCTCTAACTTCTCGCCCTTCTTCTCATTCACTTCCCCCCATGTTTTTTTTCCAAATTCTTTCTTGATTTTTGTCTTCCATTTGTACACCCAAAATTCAAAGACAGTTGACGTCAGGTAGTCGCCAAAGTATAAGGAAAAGCCAAACAGTTATTTTTGTTCTATTAATTTGACATTGGATTGATTTCGGATAAGGAATAGGAAATTAAGATGCGTCAGTAGTTCAGTGAAGCACAGAGTGTCAAAAGTGATGAGATATCGGTATGATTTGCGGTTTACCATTGAGAATGTTTATAATAATATTCTTTAATTATAATTTTCTAAGTGCATGAAGTATTTCGGTCAGGGGTAACTTCTGCTCTAGCGCTTTTCGCTAGAGTAAGAACATCGGGTACGCGACCCCGACCTCCCCAGCTGCTGCAGTTATATGTTTTAATTTTATGGAATTGAAACATATAACTGCAATATCTCTTGTTATGGGGTGAAGGACGAAGGAAGGGCCATAGGAAGTTGCGAAGGAGGGATACTGTAGTTATATATTTCAATTCCATAGAATTGATACATATAACTGCAGTATCCTTCCTTCGTGTCTTCCTTCGCCCGTTCCTTCGCCTTTCACCCCAAATTGGCCAAAGTACGCCAAAGACATATATATAGTAAACAAAGCTAAAACTGTTGTTTTTTGTACTATTAATTTGACATTGTAATGATTTGGGATAAGGTTTTCCTATTGGAAGTGAAGCAGAAGATGTCAAAAGTGATAAGATATCGGTTTGATTTGCGGTGTATCATCGAGAATAACGCAGTATGGCTGACATTATATATTACATGAAATTACATTTCTAACTCGGAAGTTTTCATATTTAAATTTCTGCTATAACTAAGTTGGACGCCGAGAAAGCTCACGGAATATACTTAATATACTGTATAACCAGTTTTTAAGTTAAAGTTTCAATTTCACAACTGTAATATCCTTTCTTTGACCTATTCTCTTTTCCCCACATCTTATTATTCCCAAAATCGGTTTTGATTCTTGTCTTACATTTCTACACCCAAAATTCAAGGATAGTTGCCGTCAGGTAGTCGCTGGATTATAAAATAAGGCCAAAACCATTATTTTTGTACAATTAATTTGACATTCTAATGATTTGGGATATGAAATAGGAAGTGAAGCATAAGGTGGCAAAAGTGATAAGATATCGGTATGATTTGCGGTTTACCATCGAGAATGTTTATAATAATATTCTTTAATTATAATTTTCTAAGTGCATGAAGTATTTCGGTCAGGGGTAACTTCTGCTCTAGCGCTTTTCGCTAGAGTAAGAACATCGGGTACGCGACCCCGACCTCCCCAGCTGCTGCAGTTATATGTTTTAATTTTATGGAATTGAAACATATAACTGCAATATCCCTTGTTATGGGGTGAAGGACGAAGGAAGGACCATAGGAAGTTGCGAAGTAGGGATACTGTAGTTATATATTTCAATTCCATAGAATTGATACATATAACTGCAGTATCCTTCCTTAGTGTCTTCCT